TTAATCTAAAGGTCTCAACACCCATTGAGGATCCGATCCCAAATTTGAGATCCCAAGTATTTCCTATGTATAAGGGTAATATTTGATCTGCCTTGGTGGTTAAGTTTTTGAAGTATATGATATGCCTCGGGCCATCACTTATCTGGATTATTCTTGGCTGATGTGGTAGTTTTACTTCCCACCACACGGATTTGAACTTTGAATGGCTGCAAACGAGGCCCAATTCCTATCCTTTCTAACTCACACACACACACACACACATATATATATATATATACTTGGCAAAGACCAATGACACATTGAGTTTGGTATACCTCTAGTGAAGTGCAAGAATGAAATACACACTACTAAATCATAAATAATACATTTTTAATTGTGTTGTATAGACCAAATATGAGATGATGTTATTTTACTATAAAATCATTCAATAATAACTTCAAATCAACTAATACTAAAGAAGATCGATCATCATTTAGGGATGACTGTGGATTAGAAAAAAATAAGAATTAGTCCAAATCCGTCATATTTGAATCGAAGATAAATTATACGTAAAAGACGATAAACGTATATAGAGATATCTACATAAATTCGTATGAAGATGAACTGACACTTATCCCTATTCTCGTTTGTGTGTGTGTATATATATATCTTCAACCACCAAGTAGGGTGGTATAGTGGGGTACCGGTCTTACTCCTTACCTTGAAGTTGGGAGTTCGAGTCTTGGAGTCCCCATTAGGGCTTGGTGATTGACCGCTATGCTAGCCTAGCTAGGTCTGGTCCAGAGAGGTATTCTAGGCATGGTCAAAGGTCTTATGATCCCACCGGTGAGAATCTATTGGAGGGATCGTTGGGTACTGTTCTTTGCTCCCACACTTTTTTTTAACCAGCGAAAAATATATATATATCTTCTGACCTAATTCTAGACGCTTGGTTGTGTTTGGCAACCGTTGAAAGTTAGGTTGGTAGTTGAGGTTGATCATTGTATCCTGTTCGGTGGGGAGTGGGACCCCAAGCCCATCTAATTGACTTTGGCAATGAGATGTTGATTAGATTATGTTATGCATTCTGCTTGTTAATTTGCTTGTATCTGTTCCTAGCCAATTCTGCTTGTTAATTGTTATCGGGTTTTTTTTTCAATTTTTTTCTTAAAATTGATGATGCATAAATTGGTTTTGCACACCACATGTCAAATGACTAATAATTAAAGCAGTAATCCAGTAGAGAGAGAGAACACAAGGATTTATAGTGGTTCGGTCAACGTGACTCATGTCTATTTTGAAGTATAGTTTTAAAACCCGGCCCGAACATCAACTCGGCAGAGGGACCGAGTCAACAGGTTACTAGTTCAACCGTTGGATCACTGGTCGGACAGGTAATATAATAAAAAATAATAAATAAATAATAATAAATAAGTTAAAAAATCAAGAACAGTGGAGACAGAAAAATATATTCTGCAAGTTCTATGAACTCCTCCGTGAACGAGTTCAAGCAAATTAACAAAGGTTATCTTTAATGCATATTAAATCAAACAAAAATCCTAAAATCATAAAATTCAATCTAACCACCGTAATAAAATCTATATCAAATCAAATTTAAGTAAAATTTTCACCAAATCAAACCTAAATACAAATAATCTAGTTTTACTGAATCAACAAAGTCATAATCAATCAACTCGTAACCATACAATACAATATTAGTGTGTATAATATACCAATTGTAATGTGCAAAGAAAAGTGGGGAGAGAACGTATCTACTAGTGCTTGAAGTCTCGCTTTGAGAGAAGAAAATGTGCAAAGAATGACTACTAAAACCAATGGAGGTCCAATCGGACAAACCTTCGATCTGAGATCGTTAGCCAATCGCCACACAAAATCAACAGAATCGGTGCAATAAACCATAAATGTAGGTAGTTTTCACTGATAGAGTTGTTCTAAACCAAAGATCTAAAGGCTAAGGAGATCTATGATAACTCCTCTAAGTTTTCACAGATGACACCTTATAGCTGCCAAAGATTGAGAGTCTAAGAGAAAGAGAGAGAGGAACAAACGAACGACTCCACCAAAGGGGGCTGGTTGGGCAACACAATTTAGGGCAAAATGCTTTTGGGCCAAAAATCAACCTTTTATAGAAAATTAAATGACCCGCCCAATTTGATGGAACCCGTCCGATTTAACGATTTTCCTGGGTTTTTACCAGTTCACTGGGTTGCCTTCGATTCTTATGCATAAATAATTCAATAGATAAACTAGCCCGGTTTAGGCACTGGTTCACCAAGTTAACCCGTGGTGGCGGGCGGGATTTTAAAACACTGCTTTGAAGGGTTAGGGTCGCCCGAGTATTTATTACTTTAAGGTGTGTAGTGGGAGTAGGAAAATATAAGCTATAAGAGATAAATGAGAGTTACAGATGTGCTTGATTGAGTGTGATGCCCCCTAAGTGTTGGCAGAACTTATAATTTATAGTCGCCTTCTAATAAATTGAGGTATAACTACATGGCTAATTCGGTGGAGTTGGCACCCTCTTCTCAACGGATGAGGTAGTTACGATGCTCCCATAAGATTCGTTCAAATGATGACGCGAGAGTTGATTCTTTTCAAGGTGGCGTGGATGAGGCTCTTGGATGACTTGACGATATAGCTCCTTGAACCCCGATAAACTTGACCGAGCATGAACGCCTTTGAGTTGGATTTTATTGGATTTCTTTAAGTTGGTCTCTTAATTCAAACTGGGCCTACAATCGTGTTAATAAGAACAGACGAGAGATGGATAAATTTTTTTTAAGTGGGTACAAGGGTGGTAACTACTCACCCAGCCCCCTAATTCACTGTCATTCCTACTGCCACTGTTGATGCTATTACCATCACCACTCTCACCTCCACCTCGACCACTACAACTATCCTCTCCACTATCACCACTTCCTCAAAACAAATCATCAGTCTGAGATTGTGTATTGAAGAAAATCTAGATCCCACATCATCTTAATTTTCAGTTTTTACATATGCATCTTATTCAATTTATAATTTCCTGAAACAAAAAATAAATAAAAAAACTTAGGGGTCATTTGGTAACGTTTTTGAAAAACAAAGATAATTTTTGTCTTTGTTTTGTGATAAACACCAAAACAGAAAATATGTTTGGGAGTCGTTTTTGTCTATCAAATTATGAGAATAAAAACAAAAAATATGTTTGGTAATGAATTCAAATTTTATCCTAAATATATTTGGTATCTATTTGGCAATTAAATCCCAAATCAACACAACACACGCACACGCACAGATCTTCTTCCTCACAGTGGAGGTCATGGCTTGAAGGCAATCATCTATCCTTTTCTTCACTTTCTATGCACAAATCTGTATACACAGGATTTGTGCATATATACACATGATCTNTCTTCACCTTCTATGCACAAATCTGTGTATATATGCACAGCTTCTGGGTTTCACACAGAAGAAGGAGAGAGGAGAGAGAGAGGCAGTGATGGGGAGGAGAGAGGCAGCGCTGCTGGGGAGGAGATAGGCAACGATGGGGAGAAGAGGCAGCGATGGGGTTTTCTTCCGGNCGCACAGATCTTCTTCCTCACAGTGGAGGTCATGGCTTGAAGGCAATCATCTATCCTTTTCTTCACTTTCTATGCACAAATCTGTATACACAGGATTTGTGCATATATACACATGATCTGTGCATATATATGCATAGTTTCGAGGTTTCACAAAGAAGAGGGAGAGAGGAGAGAGAGGCAGCGATAGGGAGGAGAAAGGCAGCACTAGGGAGGAGATAGGCAACGATGGGGAGGAGAGGCAGCGATGGGGTTTCTTCCGTTCGTCTAATACAGAGAAAGGAGAATAGGAGGGAGAGAGGAGAGAGAAGCAATGGGAGGAGAGACGTTTGAAATGGGTTTTTATACTTTTATGAAAAATAACACATTTTTGTTGATAATGAGAGTCGAATCCGAGACCTCATTAAAAACTTCAACTGAGTTGCACGCGTGTTTTGTGTTTCGGATGTTTTTTGAAACACAATTTTTTTGTTCCCATTTTCTTCAATACAACTAATATAAAACAAAAACAAAAATAATATCCAAACATGTCTTTATTTTTATTTTTGACAAAAATTGAAAACAAAAATATAAAATACAAGACAAAGACAGTTACCAAACAGGCCGTTAGATCCATTGGGCCCTCGTTTAAGATGGAAGAGCCCAACCCAAAATGAAGTTTTAAAGTGGCCGGGTCCGGAACTGTATATGACGATGACACCGAATGCCCTCACACGCGTGTCACGTGACATCAACTCAACAAGAAAAAAGGCATTGTGCGCCGAAAACCCCCACTAACACAAAGAAATACGAGTTTGCTGTAACACAACCGTCCGATCTCATACCACGTCAGAGATCCGCGTCAGTTCGTAATTCAACGGTCGAGATCAAAGTTCTACAGAGCTACAGGACTGAACGAAGAAGCTTCTCTATTCTCTCTCCCTTTCTCTCTCTTCCCCTGTTTTTCCCCTAGAATTTCCAGGAATTTAATTTAGAAATTATTTTTTTCGGTGAAATTTTCTGGTTTTGATATTGAATATTCTTGAGAAAATGGCAATCATTGAGGAAGAGAGAGATTTCGAAGAAAAGAGCGAAATCAAATTTTTGAATAAAGACAAGGTTGACGGTGTGGATGAGGATGATATCGAGGAGATCGACGGTGAAGAGGAACAGGATGGAGGGGATGATGATGAGGATGGAGATGATGACGGTGATGAGGACGAGGAGGATGATGAGAGGGAGGTTCTGCATAGCTCTGGTGGTCCACCGATTCAGTCAGTAGACGATGATGATGAGGATGATGAGAACAACGATGACGAAGATGAGAATGGTGAAGGCGATAGTGATGACGACGACGACGACGACGACGATGCCGACGAAGAAGGTGAAGACGAGGTGATACTTTTGAAAATTATTCAGTCTATTCTCTAATATGTCATTAATTTATTTCAATTTTTTACTTGTATGTCTGGTAAATTCGATGTGCTTTGCTTGAAACTAATTGTTCATATCTGTGTGGTGATTTTATATTAAGTTGTTTCTATTTTCTCGGTTTGCTTTGAAGGAAACGTTATTTCGGAGAGACAGTTTTTTTTTCCCCTCTTGAAGCTGATTGATGAACTTCTATAGTGTTTAATGTGATATCTTGTACTATTTGGTGAAATTTGTAGTTAAATTGTTAAGATCTGACAGTTCTGAACATTTTTCTTTGAGCTGATTGTAGAAATCTGATAAAATCTTCAATCTTCAGAGCTAAGAAATTTGTTAGCTTGCTTCTTAGTGTTGTGATCTGTAAATTATTGATATAATGTGTGCTGACACGGTCAGATCTGGTGATCTAAAATTCTCCTTTTTTCCTGAAGATGATTGAATAGGTTTAGTAAGTTCCCAATTATTGTAGTTATATGTTAAAAAACAGAAAATTTTCTAGGTGATAGTTTCCAATGAAATTTCCTGTTGGTTCATCTCTCTTATTCTCTTGTTTGATTATATGTGTGGATCTTTGTTACTTAGGTTTGTTGTGTCATAAATAAGAGTCTTCATAATCACCAATAGTACGCGTGCACTACAATTGACACCTATATTGGCGTAGGGCTCTAGAGGATTCATGGATGTAGTATTTTCTTACTGCTATTTGTCACACCCTTTTTAAGGTTAAAATTTCGTATCTGTCCCTTGGACATGTCTATAATTTTGACACACATCTGCTTTCAGGTTAATTTGGTCATGAACTCTGTTCATTGCAATATTTTTCCCATGGCAGACATAGGTTTCAGGTTGAGGGCTGTTTTCCACTATGGGACATACTTGGTATAGCCGGTCCGATACAGAATATGCATTGAGATGTCAGAAATATAGGTTATAGACAATAGAGAAATGTCCCGCTGCTTCATATTGCTTTGTTCTTAACTTTCAATCCCCCACAAAAACCTTTGCTCCAGGGCCGAACTACTTATCTAGTCTACCAATCCTTTCCATCATTCTTCCTTGCAAAAATTCCAGTTTCAGGATTTCTTATAGGATTATTTTCCCTTTGTTTTTGTGATTTTTCTTAATTTTTTATGAAAATTGTATATAATATCATCTCGAGGTCTTAGTTTCTCTTAACATGTGTGAGATTAACTTACTGTAGTTTTTACTCTCCATTTGTGTTTTATAGATCTGGTGACATTTATTAGCATCTCACATACATGTAATGTGTGTGGTGAGATTTGTGTTTATACAGTTTGTTTTCTTTTGATACACCTTAATTTTGATTTTTTTCATATTGTCCAAATGAAAGTCTTATCTCCTACATGTTTGTATTTCCTTCTTTTTTGTCTTGAAATATACAAGTGTTTGTGTAGTACATTTGTTCCTGTTGAAGTGGCCAGGATTTTTTTCCTGCTTGGCTGATTTTTGCAGGTGATTTTAGATTTTTTTTTTTTTTTGGGTAAGTATTTTAGATGTTTTACGAAATTTCAGTAGTGTTAGTCTAAGCTTTAGTTTTTAGTCATTGGCATCTCTTTTTTATTTTTAAGGTCATTTGAAACATAAATGTGGATTTTGGTAGCCAAGGTCATTGGTAACACAGAATGTTGTTGTCATCAATCTACTATTTGGCTGACTTTTATTCCCCACAAAGCCTGTGTGTTCCTATTGTTTGTGAATTCCTTTGCTCTTAACTTCTTCATATCTACACTTTCTGCTGACATCTAACTGCATAGGAGGATGTTGGAACCGAGTACCTTGTTCGACCAGTGGGTCGTGCTGAAGACGAGGAAGATGCGAGTGATTTTGAACCAGAGGAGGATGGTGATGAAGACGATCTTGATGAAGAGGATGAGGATGCTGATGCTGGTGGTAAAGTCGAGGCTCTGCCAAAGAGGAAGAGGCCAGACAATGGCTCCGATGACGATGATGGTGGAGAGGATGATGAGAGACCACCATCCAAGCGATAGGACTGAGCCTTTCTTGGGTTGAAGACTGACACCATTGACGCATAGGTCAATCTCTCTTTCCCTTTCTTTTCTAGATCCATCAACCTCTTTGTAGAAAGAAAGATAGGAGGAAGCTCAATGTTTTGTGTTGTTTCTTGTTGTATGATCATGTTGCAGTATTATTAGGGTTTGATTTTACCTTTCCAATGCATTGTCATATGCGTTCTGTCTAGGACCTTTTGAAAACTTTCTGGTTTAGGCTTTTGTGTAAGGTTTAAAGTTACATAACTCTGAATACTTGTTGTGTTGGGGGTAATTCCAGTTTTACTAGTTGAAGTTTAGTGTTGTTTATCTGTTGGTTGGGTGCTTGTTGGATCTTTTCATGGTTCTTTATATAGGTGAGCTCTTTAGCAAAATCAGTTTCCGTTATTGCTACTCGTAAAGTAGTCTGGTAAGATTTGAAATGGTTTAGGTTAGAGGACGGGTTACAGAATTAGAGTTCCCTCTCTTCGATTCCATGGGTGATAATTGGTCGGCTATTTCTAGATTGTCTGGACGGTTATATGATCATCTTGGGGATGCAATGAAAATGGTTCAAGATGGGTAACGTGGATGGGTGGGTCTTTGATTAAGAGAGTTGCCAATTGGTATGTATGATCCGTGTCAAGGGTTATTTGGGCCTTGTTATGGACTAAAATAAGGACAAGTTTGTGGTAAATCAACGTGCCCCGGAAGGCAGGAGGTGGCAAAATCGGTATTCCCACTTCAATTTTTGTTGTATAGTAAAAGTGACATATTTCATAGGTAAGATAAGATTGTAGCGGTAATGAAAATAGATCCCCGAGAGAAAATGAGAGTTTAGGCAAAAATTATCACAGATGTTGTATATATATATATTCCTACCACAAACGAGGCCTTGCCAACGGGAAAACTGTTAATTTTTTGGGCCACACCTCACATGTTGAACGGTCCTTTTTTACGACGTATGACAATCTGCTCTCTAACGTAATAAGGGAGTAAGATTGAAGTGCCATTAAAAAAATTTACTTGCTGCGAGTCAGTAGTTAATGTACACACACTGAACACTGATATATCATTACTAGTTGTATTTAATATAATTCATGCTTTATTTTTTTGTTTATTTCAATTAATTATTATCCTCTCCTCTTTCATTCACCAACTAACCTCTACTAGTTCACTAATGTGATTATTTCTTTGACAGGTGTCGATGGAAGCATCAGTGCAAGTGAGGAGGACAAACAAAAGCAAAGCACATGGAAGACAAAAGTGGGCCTTCGTCACCAAGAATTATGAGGATATATTCAAAGTGGGCCTTCACTAGCTTGTCTACTTGTTGCCCAAGTGGGCAGGCTGAGCTGGCAACCCTATCTATTTCGGCTTGGCTTGAACCCATCGCTCTCTCTCTCTCTCTCTCAAAGACAAGTTAGCACACTGCACAGCATAAGTAAAGGCAGGCCAGGTGCGCGTCAAACCCTCATAGATATTCATTCTCAAATGAGGGGTTCACTGCCGTACCTCTAAAAAAAATTTTGATACTTTACCTCTAAAATTTATTACTTTTTTGTGAATTTTTTATGAGTATTTTGATCTCATTTGTAATAACTATTTTTATTACTTTTTTAAGTATCACAATAATAGTAAAAATACTCACAAATAAAAATAAAAATATCCATAAATATAATAAATTTCAATATAATACCAAATTTTAAAATTTCGATCACATTGACAAATCCCTCTAATGAATATCTTAAAAAACGACGAAGTGGATGTAAATGACATGATTTTACATGTCACATCATGAATATAAATAATAAATGTACATTTTTAGTTTTTTTTTTAATTTAGAATTCCCTCTAATTTTAATTTAAACAATTTACCCCTTAAAGTTAAATTAAATTAAATACAAAAAATACAAAATTACCTTCATCTCTATCATTTTATTTTAAAAACAAACTCAAAAAAATGGCATAAACCCACCTTCTAATTCTTCGCGAGTCTGGAATTGACCAGGGCAGCTGGCAACCTCTTGCATAAACGTTTTCATTACACATCCAAGCCTTTGGAATATCTCTAATAGTATTCTCTATTTTAAAGAATATTTATCATAAAATTTGAAATATAGAGTAAAACATTTTTGACAATTTCAATACTCTCTATTATAGAAGAAAAATAGTCTTATAGTTAATAATATTTAATAAAAAATGAATATTTATCACCTTGTCATTTATTAAAAATAGAATAGAGAGTGATTAAACTCTCCAAATGTAAAAGGCCAAATAAATTTTTTTATTGGAGCTTGATTTTTGATAATTGATTCTCGAAAATAGAGAGTTGAGTGAGAATAGAGAACCTATTGAAGTTTGATTTTGATGGTTAACTCTCTAAAATAGAGAGTTGAAATGAGAATAGAGAGGCTCTTGGAGTTTGCTCTTACATTCTCCATGGGACTCATTATAAAAATTATTCAGCCAAACAATAATCACAAAATTGAAAAAAGAAAAACTTATGCTTGCAACAAAAGTAGCACCTCAACGATTTGATGAAACTAGAAATCATCCAAAAATGGAAAAAGATGTCTCCAATTTCGACAGTCCTGGATATAAGTTAATAACAGCAGGTGGCAGCAACAGCAGACTCTTCTCCAATTTCATTCCGTGCAATCCCTCAGCTCAGAATATATGCACGATGTCATAAGAAAACCTTCTTATGTCAAGGAAAATGTAGAATCACACGCGAATATATATGAGGAGGAAAAAAAAACATTGTAATATCTGGTAAAAATATTTCAATAAAGCTTGCCTCGATGAAATATACACAGGAACTGATTACTTTAAAAGGAGCCACTTCTGACATATTTTAGCGGTACACTTCTATATTTGTTTTGGCCAAAATGTACTCCAAGTACACACACACACACACACACTCACTGTGATGGGTGTGAGTATGGAGCCCAATGACAAATGTGGCCTAAGCGAGATATCTATGCTACAAAGATGGCGACAGATGAATAATTCTTGGTCACCTCATCAGTTTTGCACTCTATATTTTTCTAGATGTGGTTTCTACGTATTAAAAAAGGAAAAATAGCAAAAGGATACGACCAGAACAGCACGAAGGACTGCAAAAAATGCGTCATGTCAGTCAATTAACATAATCAAACACAAAATGGAGACATCAAGCTATTTCAAGAAAGGCGCTGGTTTGCAACAAAATCCGACTTTGGCATGGCCTATTTATAGGAAATATAACCACAACATTAATATGAAGTGAAGAGAGGAATTATCACTCCCATTTGTTATCTAGTGAATCATCAAACTTGTAACTATCAAATGAATCTTCCTTTAATGCAATCACTATAGAAACTTGGGATTTTGGAGAAACTTACTCCAATAATTACCAAAAAGTTCCTCTTTGGCATAACCAACATATCTGTGTGATTGGCATCACCACCAAGTAACCAAAAAAGGATTCCAATAAAGATTGGCATGATATAATTCCTTACACATTACGGACATAAACACTTTTGAAGGGATGCAAATGTGCTTTGGTGGGGTCATTTCACAACAAATCAGAAGGAAAAAAAAAAAAAGGAAAATCATCTAGGTATGGAAAAATTAAGCTTTTGAGACTCTGAACCTATGGTAGAAGACCAGAAAAGATGGTCACTGATAGACCCTTTCTAGAGTGATTTGCAGTCCTTTTATGTAATACCATCATAACTAGATTACACCAAATAAAGAATCGACAACCAGAGAAAAAAAAAAAACTTAACTACGCATGGCATCTTTTTTCTATTTTGGCTTTCTGTGACAGCTCTAGGAAGTGTTAGTCATGCAGTGGTTGAACCCAAGAAACAATAGGCAAAAAGCTCCACAAACAAATAAACTTGAAGAGCACAAATAAGCAAGATAATAGAGAATCGTACCATAAGGCCACCCAAAAAGCCATCAAGTAGAATCCTGTTCCAGCTATCGAAGAATGAATGAATGGAAAACCCTGCTTTGGCCGTTAGTCCTACCGAAGTAATTGCCATGACCAGAAAATAAAAGATAAATCCCATCAAGCCAGTAAATCCAAAAATTCCAGCAATGAATCCTCCAACAATAGACATAAATGTTCGACTGCAGGAACGAGAAAACTTCATGTTTGTGCCCCAACACACTTTTTGAAAACAACAGCAAACAAGATAAAATTGTAGTATAATAATAGCACAAAATGATCCGTAAACAATGAAACATGTACGTGTGGTTTTAAAACAAAACTTTACAATTCACAAATGTCGTAAAACCCAACTACCAAAAGACGGTTTTTTTCCCTTTGCAAATAGATCACATTTTTTTTTTAACTGAATAGATCACATGTTCATAAGAAAAAAATTTCAATAAAAGCCATATGGTATCAGAGCCCTCTATTCTTTGGGCAGGAACCAGCATCAAGAAAAATAAACACTAAAGCTCTGGCATAGGCCACCTTCTAAGCTTTACCATTGTCACCTTAAAGGTTTCACAATCCTAACACAGTTTCAAACATCAGCATACCATGATCAATGTCTTTGGAATGGAAACAATGCTCTAGTTGTTGGAGAAACAAAATGCTTTCCCCAAAAATTTTACTCTTCTATCTATCCCATACCTAAGTAGTTATTCAACCAGCAAATCTAACACAGACAAGTTTCATGCTCAAGATGGGCATAATATCAAATTTAACAGCTTAGATTGAGCGAAGACTAAAGGCACGTCTCCAGATGACTGCTTCTTTTTTAATTTTTCAAGAAAATTTGAATTTGAAACGAACCCATAACACGTATGTACCAAGCATATCAATCAGAACGGCAGTACATCAAAATAAGGTGTTCAAACAGACCTGTAATAGATAACTCTCATGTTGTTTTGCATATTCTCAGCATTGAAGGTCGGTAAATCGTTTATAGCTTGACTTGATTTCTTGTCAGACGTTCCAGAATCATCATGCCCGGCCATAACTTGAACTTGGAGTAATTCTACCACAAACTTCTAAACAATAAGAAGACGAAACCCTAATTACACAAAATTTCGGGAAGACGAAAAAAAATACGTAATATCTACAAGTTCATAACAAAAACAGAAACACAGTAATACCTAATGCGTCCACTCAAACATAATTAAGGAAAACACACACACACATCAATATAAATGTATATTTGAAATCACACAATGAAACTAAGCTAGAAACTAATCTGTGAACTAGGAGTGGTCTCAAATTTCTTAAAAATTCAGACAAAATTAGTAGCCTATACATACAAATTGAGCCAAACAAAGATGATAGATTGTCCATGAAAGCACAAAAGTACCTATATATATATATATGTGATACCTTGAAATTGGCCGGAGAGACGAGATCGATCTGATGTGTTTTGCACTTCCGGCGGCCTTCGTATCTCTGGTGGTCGTATCTGATTAGAATCGTTTGGTTTAAGCGGGTTTGGTTGCAACCCAAACAGGACATAAAATCTTATTTTGGGCCAATAGTCCTGAAATATGTTAAACAAAGCCCACTGAATGATGGGTTTCCCCATTTCTGAAATCGATCCCAAGTCAGTCTTGATTTGGATTTTCTTGGCAATGCCAACTTTATACAAACGGTTATATACATCCCTCTCCAATGCAAAAGGGATCTATGCGGATGCAAATCCCTTCCAGCATTCTATTTTTATCTTTTGTAGATCACCTGAAATCCCTTTATTACAATTAGTTCAACTTGAATTCACGGATAGAATATCTACTAAGAAAGAAAATATATATCATCTACTCCGTTATATGGATGCATATATAATGTAGATCAATGTTATCAGTACTAGATTGAATATTAATCGACAGAGAAATTGAGTCAATGGTTCACAAGTTCAACCGTTGAATTAATCGGTCGAACCGATTGTATAATGAAAAAAATATAAAATATAAAAATTTAACTAAAAATTTACAATCACAAAAAAAAAAAATCAAATAGTGTACTATATATGTCTTAAATCCTTCCTATTGAATTGAATGTCTTAACTCTTTACCGTTGAATTGAATGCGTGTGTATTAACTATTTAATTTTTATTCAATTATTCAATATGATCATATGTGTGTGAGCAAAAAGCAAACTCACCATGTGAGAGAGAGAAAAAGAAAGAACCATGTGAGAGAGAGAGAAAGAAAAAGCAATGTTATTGAAATTTAATTTATTGACTTAATTAACTATGACCTAATTAACTATGATATTTGGATTGACAGTCGGTTCCATTAAATATTAAAATTTGGTGTTAATTCAATGGTTTTAATGAAGCTACGTCGTTAGATCAGCATATTATGTCAGATTTTTAGGTTCAATTCAATAGAACTATTGGATTAACATCAAGTTCCAATATTTGATGGGCTCCATAGTCAATCTAAATGTCATAGTGAATTAAGTCAACAAATTAAGTTAAAAAATTAGGTTCAATAGCGTTGCACTAAAAAAAGACCCAGCAGCAAGCCATCCTTTATTTTTGAGTAATGCTACATGGACTTAAAAAGTAGACTTAAAAATTAGACTTGATAATCTCAACTGATGGGTTAAGCCCAAGTAGTCCAATTTATGTATTAAAGCCCAACCCCGGTTGAGGAGCCCAACCTCATCGTGAATCCACCAAGTCCAAGACAGACCAAGGCCGGTTAGACTTCTTGCTTAGCACGTCACCAAGAGGAGAGTACGGGAAGTTTATCTACACCGCCTTAGGGAGCCCAAGGACGGTTGGACTTCTTGCTTAGCACGTCACCAAGAGGAGAGCACGGTTGGACTTCTTGCTTAGCACGTCACCAAGAAGAGAGCACAAGAAGCTTATCAACGGTCCAATCTTTGACCACGTTTCCTTCAAGAGTTCCCCAAACTCTTCCTTCCGTTGAGAATAAGTCGTGATCTCCACCGAAGATAATCTCTAAGCTGCGATAAAGAAGCCTTGAGGATATGTTATGATCTCCACAAGAATGATCTCTTATCTACTATAAAATGACTCTAATCTGTGAGAGAAAAAAAACACATGCTCCATCAGAGACTTACAGAAGACGAACCGACTACCGGAGATTATTATTTTCTTTGATTCTCCATTCCCCCTCTCAAAGCTTGTATCTCCATTTTCCATACCTTTGAATCAATAAAATACCCGGCGACTGAAGCCATTGAAGAGTGGACGTAGGTCGAATTGACCGAACCACTATAAATTGTGTCTTCTTTAATTTTTTCGTTGATTTCATTGCATTTATTATCTATATTTGACAGGTGGTGTGCAAAACCATTTTTGTGCATCATCATCAACCATTGATTTTACTGTGAGTCCCAGCATTTATTGTGACCCACTACCTATTCAATGGTTGAAATTATCAAGTCTAATTGTTAAGTACATGTACCATTACTCTTTATTTTTTCTTTCATTTTTGTGGGTGTGTATCACTGTGTCTGCGTGGAGAGAGAGAGGGAGGGGGGGGGGGGGGGGGANGGGGGGGGGGGGGGGGGGGGGGGGGGGGGGGGGGGGGGGGGGGGGGGGGGGGGGGGGGGGGGGGGGGGGGGGGGGGGGGGGGGGGGGGGGGGGGGGGGGGGGGGGGGGGGGGGGGGGGGGGGGGGGGGGGGGGGGGGGGGTGGGGGGGGGGGGGGGGGGGGGGGGGGGGGGGGGGGGGGGGGGGGGGGGGGGGGGGGGGGGAAGAAGATGAAGTGAAAGGAGATTTAGATATGTGGAAGTGGAAGGAGACGAAGTGATGTGTTACTGTGCATGTGGTGTTCGAGTCTTTGAGATCTAGATGTGTTGTTTTCCAGATCTATTTCGCCATTGTTCGACGGAGCAGACAAAGCGGAAGGAAACGGAGAAGATGAAAGGCTGCCGGCTGGTTATTTAGATGGTCTAACTAAATAACCGGACTCTTTAGATACTGTTAATGGTTCAACCGGTCCGACCAGCCGATTTAGTCCAATTCTAATAACACTGACGTAGATAGAAGGATAGGAAGACCATAGAATTAATTGGAGAGTGCCAAAACCAGGATCGAATGATGGTATTTCCATACATTTTCCAATAAGCAAACTGCTGCGTTAAGTATAATCCACCGGAAATTTGAAGAAGCTGCACAAGAAATGCTTCTGTCGAAGTAAGTTTTGTTTATTCGGACAAATTTACAAGGACCTCGACCATCAGAGAGCACCCATAACAACAATTATTCAAATTATTTGTCATAGACAAGACAACCCATATTTTTTTATCTAGAGGCACAGGCCAGTACAGTACAGTGACATTATTCCAATAGTAATGCCTAAGTCCTTTTTGCCTTTAAATGTGATCTGGCAATTCGACCATCAGCTCCCTTAGGGTAGAAGCCTCCAGGTACACTCTCATCTCCTCCTCCATAAACGATCCGGAGAATTTCCTCCGGCGTTCTGTCGAACGAAATCGAGTATCGGTCGCCGGCTAAAACATTGCCTGTGACCCTCCCCTCGGCACCTTGAAATGGTTTCACTATAAGACCTTCGTCTTTCACACCTGCGCGTCCCAGCTTGTTCCTCAGCTTTGAGATATTGTTGGTGAATTCTGCGACTGTGATTCCATATGGTGCTACCTTCTTGGCTGCTCGCTTGTAAAGTAGTGCTCTCAGTACGGCGTCTTGGCCTGATTCCACGCCCAAAAGCCCCGCCACCAGCTGATTGATACATACAGCATGAGTAAGTATTAATTAGGAGTTGATTAATTGTGTGATACGTCATTTCATGATTGACACACATGACCCGTATATCAAAAAACTCAAAGAATAAATTTGCATTCTCTCTGAATTAAATCTGTCGTCCATAGATTTTTGGTCTAGTATTGAGTTGATGACTGGAATTGGGTAATACCCTCTTGGCAGTAGCACTTTGGAGTTTGGGATTAGCTCCCACATATCCAGTAAGTCCAACGTAAGGAACGACGTAGGATGCAAGAAGATAGTTTAGTTCATTGGCGTAAGGATCAAACGGTGGCACCAATGGTCGTCCAAATGCATTATCCATCACAGTTGCAAATGATGCTGCGCTTAGATTCAGCAATGGCCTTGGGAACCCTGGTACAGTGCTCTTAATTGCCCTGCATTAAGGTGCATGTAAGAAGGCCAATCTCATTTTGTTTGTAAATGGTACAATCACAAACAATCGTTCCGAAAGAATATGATCTAGCAAAAATCCTTGGACCATTTAAATATAAAATAAAAACTTTCGAAATCAAATGGATGCTATTGAAAGATTGATAATCAAATCGACACATAACACATAATTTTAGAATGAAATCATATTTTGGCCATGTATATTTATTGATTATTATATATGTTTATATCGATGTATGCAATAATAACTATGATGATGAAAATGAACCTCAAGTGTCCAACTTCTTGGAATGCGAACTGGACAATAATATCCCTAGTGAGAGGGTCCAATTTGGCAGCCTTGGCGCCGATAGGTGGTGGACCGCCCTGGGTAAGGTTGGGAGCTATTCTATCCAACCCACGACCCAAAGATCCCCATAAGAAAAATTCAGCTTCCAAGTACTCTAAATTCAAAGGAAACTCCAACAGATCCACATCTGATCTGGGTAAACTAGAAGATTTCCTGTTTGTGAGGATCTCAGCCGCATAAAAGCTGGGGAGGAGGAGGAGAAAGAAGGTGGCGATCATGGTGGCGGTGATGGTGGAAGTGGACGATGCCATGGCTTGGTAGATTGTTTTTGCTTTTCTTTCTATGGTAATGGAACTGCTAGAGGAACTATTTTTATGTTTTCATGCAGCTTAATTATCTCTATGTATATACAAGTGATAAGGGTGGCTTTGTGTGGTGTCAGTGAGTTGTGACACATGGGGAAAGGGGAAGTCACAGTCAAAGTTCCATATTCCACGTGGTGTGGGACTTCATCTAAATATAGACAACAGACTTCGGAGAAGGAGAAGGTGTAGGAGGTCACGTAAATTTCATTGTCTTGCATGGTGAGGTGGTGCTTGAGACTTGGCATCGTTTGAAAAAGACAGCATGTCGCTCCAAACTAATAGACTACAAATTTGAGTTTGGATGCTCCCACACTCTTTTTGAATCCAAACGTTTTTGTAGCTCATTTCTTTTGCATTTTTGTGTGGTAAGGCTTCGAACAAAAAGAGTATGATGGCAACTTGAACTTGACAACCCATGGTTGATGATAAGTGCTTGTTTTTTATTTTTTTATTTTAATAACTTCGGACGGGTCGGGTGTCGGATCTCTAGCCACCATTCATAGATGGATTTACATTCACATATAGCCTACATTAATTGGAGTCACCAAATCAAATGTTGAGCTTAAAATGAAATGAGATCAGTGGTAGATGTATTGAACTATTGCAATTTAATTAAGAACAATGTTATTAAGACCTAATTTATTGGAGCAATAATATTAAAGTCTAATTTATTAACATAATTTACTAACATAATTCATTATGATTTTTGTATTGATTGTAGATTTCATTAAACATTGGAACTTAGTGTTGATCCAATGATTGTTATGAAACCACGTCATTATGTCAACAAATTATGTCAGATTTTTAAATCCAAATAACATTATTCAATTTATTAATTTAATTCACTGTGATATTTGGATTGATTGTGGACTCCATTAAACATTAAAAATGTTAATCTAATTATTTCTATAAAATTGAATCATTAGGTCAGTAAATTAGGTTCAAATAATATATTACTTTTTAATAAGACCTTTGTTTTTTTGGACATTCTTTTTTAAAGAATTCAAATGGCAAATGTTTTTATATTAACCCAAATAGAGAATTACACACTCATCCTAAAGTTTGTCACTTAATAATTTAGAATCTTTGACATTTGAAATATTACACATAGATCTCCTGAAGTTTATACGCGTGTAACACTTGAACTCTTGCATCAATGTCCGTTAGTCTATCTGTTAATAAATTACACTCAGACCTTTTGAAGTTTTTTAGACATATAATATTTAGACTCCTCAATTTTAAAATATTATACTTAGACAAAAAGTATTTCAATCAAAGATAACATATCAAATATTTTAAGTTTTACAACTAAAATTTATGTTCTATTATGTCATTTATTGAAATAAAATCAAAAATAAAAATATAATTTAAAAAAAAAAACATAATTACAATTATACTATTTATTGGAATAAATTTAAAAAACCAAATAAGGGGTTAAATCGTAATCGATAGAATATATTTTATCTTTAATTGAGATAATTTGGTTGTTTAATAGATTTTGTTAGCTTTGTAACTAATAAGTGGTCTAAATGTAATATTTTAAATTTGAGAGCTCTAAATATTATATACTTATAAATTTCAGGAGATTTGGATGTAATTTACTAACGAACATTGATGGTACGGTCTAAGTGTTATGCACATATAAATCTCAAGAAATTTGTGTGTAATATTTCAAATATCAAATAGTCTAAACGGTTAAGTAATAAAGTGAATGTAATTATCCCTAACTTGAAAGAAGGAAAACCTTTTTGGGCTCGTCTTTGTTTAGGCATGTAGTAAACCAAATCTCTTGCCAAGTCCCAGCCGAAAAGAGGAATGGTCCAATCTTACTGGTGTGGCCTATAGGCCCCTATTCCAAACCAACCAAGACCAACCCAACCAGTATAAAACCCTTGGCCCAAAACTAAAATCCTGGGCTTCATTTGCTTTAGCAAATATTGAAGGGCCCAATGTAAGATATACGATCACAATTAACTAGTGTAGCCTGAGAGCCGTGGGGAGCAGAGCACTGAAAAACAAAACGACCTTAGATCATTGCTCAGCACAAAGTTTGTGCAGACAAAACAAACTGGGCAGGAATTTGTTGGTGTTTTAGTACATTTGAGGTTCGTTCTGTACACACCTTCTCTGTAAGTTAGATTTATTTTGAGATAGTTTCCTCAATTTGAAATCTTGCTTGTCTTCTTTTTTCTGGTAGAAGAAATTTTGCAACTGAATCCCGAAACCTGTATTTTCAGTGTACCCAGTTGCTTATTTGATTGTTCTGATCATTTCCCATCTTGGGTTTTCGATAATTCTGAGAGTTTTGATGGGTTTCGGGTTTTAGGAGTCATGAATTTGGAATCAATTCATTTGAAAGGAGGATGTTCACTACTGTTAAAAGTCCACAAACCCTCAATACCTTTTGTCCTCAATACAAACCCACTTCTCAGTTCCAATCCTCACAATGAACAAACCCCAAACACAGTTAAGGAGTCTGATGTTTTGAAGAGGTTAAGTCATGAACGTGACATCAATGTAGCATTAGAGTTCTTCAAATCTGTATCCAATTCAAGATCTNTATAATTTAAAAAAAAAAACATAATTACAATTATACTATTTATTGGAATAAATTTAAAAAACCAAATAAGGGGTTAAATCGTAATCGATAGAATATATTTTATCTTTAATTGAGATAATTTGGTTGTTTAATAGATTTTGTTAGCTTTGTAACTAATAAGTGGTCTAAATGTAATATTTTAAATTTGAGAGCTCTAAATATTATATACTTATAAATTTCAGGAGATTTGGATGTAATTTACTAACGAACATTGATGGTACGGTCTAAGTGTTATGCACATATAAATCTCAAGAAATTTGTGTGTAATATTTCAAATATCAAATAGTCTAAACGGTTAAGTAATAAAGTGAATGTAATTATCCCTAACTTGAAAGAAGGAAAACCTTTTTGGGCTCGTCTTTGTTTAGGCATGTAGTAAACCAAATCTCTTGCCAAGTCCCAGCCGAAAAGAGGAATGGTCCAATCTTACTGGTGTGGCCTATAGGCCCCTATTCCAAACCAACCAAGACCAACCCAACCAGTATAAAACCCTTGGCCCAAAACTAAAATCCTGGGCTTCATTTGCTTTAGCAAATATTGAAGGGCCCAATGTAAGATATACGATCACAATTAACTAGTGTAGCCTGAGAGCCGTGGGGAGCAGAGCACTGAAAAACAAAACGACCTTAGATCATTGCTCAGCACAAAGTTTGTGCAGACAAAACAAACTGGGCAGGAATTTGTTGGTGTTTTAGTACATTTGAGGTTCGTTCTGTACACACCTTCTCTGTAAGTTAGATTTATTTTGAGATAGTTTCCTCAATTTGAAATCTTGCTTGTCTTCTTTTTTCTGGTAGAAGAAATTTTGCAACTGAATCCCGAAACCTGTATTTTCAGTGTACCCAGTTGCTTATTTGATTGTTCTGATCATTTCCCATCTTGGGTTTTCGATAATTCTGAGAGTTTTGATGGGTTTCGGGTTTTAGGAGTCATGAATTTGGAATCAATTCATTTGAAAGGAGGATGTTCACTACTGTTAAAAGTCCACAAACCCTCAATACCTTTTGTCCTCAATACAAACCCACTTCTCAGTTCCAATCCTCACAATGAACAAACCCCAAACACAGTTAAGGAGTCTGATGTTTTGAAGAGGTTAAGTCATGAACGTGACATCAATGTAGCATTAGAGTTCTTCAAATCTGTATCCAATTCAAGATCTTTCAAACACACCCCTCTGACATACCATATGATGGTTGAAAAACTGGGTCATCTAGGTCAGATGGATGGTGTTCAATACCTTTTGCAACAAATGAAGTTGGAGGGTATCAGTTGCTCCGAAGATTTGTTTGTTAGTGTGATCAATTCGTATCGTCAAGCTGGGGCTGCAGATCAAGCGTTGAAAACCTTTTATCGGATGCACGATTTTGGGTGTAAACCGACGGTTAAGATTTATAATCACCTATTGGATGCATTGCTTAGTGAGAATAGGTTTCATATGATTAATCCAATTTATAGTAACATGAAAGAAGATGGGATGGAGCCGAATGTGTATACTTATAACATTCTTTTGAAGGCATTGTGTAAGAATAATAGGGTGGATGGAGCTTATAAGTTACTTGTGGAAATGTCAAACAAGGGATGCTCTCCTGATGCAGTGAGCTATACCACGATTGTGTCGTCCTTGTGTAAGCTTGGCAAGGTGAATGAAGCGAGGGAAATTGTCTTGAGATTCACCCCAATTGTGCCTGTCTATAATGCTTTGATGAAAGGGTTGTGTGGGGAAGGCAAAGTTGAGGAAGCGTTTCAGTTGATGGAAGAGATGCAGAAAAACGGACTTGGCCCAAATGTCCTCACATACACAACCATCATCAATGCTCTTTCTGATTTGGGTAGCATTGAGCTGTCTCTTGCCCTTCTAGCCAGAATGTTTGTGAGAGGAAGCAGTCCAAACATTTACACCTTTGCTTCCTTACTAAAAGGGTTTTTTTTGAATGGGAGATGGTATGAAGCTCTTGATGTTTGGGACCGAATGATCAGGGAGGGAGTTTTGCCCAACACTGTCGCGTATAACACACTGATACATGGTCTGTGCTCTGTTGGGAATATGAGCAAAGCAGTATCCATTGTTAATCAAATGGAGAGAAGTGACTGCTTTCCAAATGCAACAACTTACGGTACCCTCATCAACGGGTTTGCAAAATCTGGGAACTTGGTTGGTGCATCTGAGATGTGGAACAAGATGATAACACGTGGTTGCCATCCTAATGATGTAGTCTATACCTGCATGGTGGATGCCCTTTGCAGGAATCTAATGTTTGACCAAGCCTATTGTCTTGTGGAGAATATGGTAATGGGAAATTGCTTCCCAAGTGCAGTTATATTCACTCCATTTATTAAAAGTTTATGTGCCAGTGGAAGAGTTGCTTGGGCAATGAGGTTGTTTGATCAAATGGAAAAATATGGGTGCTTGCCTGATGTAACGACTTATAACGTGCTTTTGAATGGTCTCTTCAAAGACAACAACTTCAAGGTGGCATTTGAGCTTACTATGGAGATGGAGGACAGGAAAATTGAGTTCAACATATTGACATACAACACTATAATTTATGGCTTCTGTTGTGTTGGCATGCTTGAGCAGGCTCTAAAGGTCTTTGGGAAAATGCTGGTCAGGGGTATAAAGCCTGATACTCACTCATTTAACATGGTAATTAACGCTTTCTGTAAGCAGGGTAAGCTCGAATGTGCCATTAAATTTCTGGATGCAATGAGAGCTGGAGGCTGGCGTCCAAATATATTTGTATACACTAGTCTTTTATATGGGATTTGTAAGTGGATAGGTTTAGACGAAGCCAATATTTATCTTCAGAGAATGTTAGAGGAAGGAATTTGCCCCAACATTGCTACATGGAACGTTTTAGTCCGGTGTTTGTATAGCAATATAGGGTATGTGGGAGCAGTAGATTGCTTTGACTGTATCTTGGATAATAGAAGAAATGAAAGATATTGAATTATCCAGTGAATACCATGTCCAAGAGTATGTAGTAAGTCACTGCCTCCTCTGTGCAGTTGAGGTCTACAATCCTGATTCTCATGGTGTGCATTAATCTACGAGGGGAGACCTTCACTCTGCTTCTCACTTCCTAACCCTAAAACCTTACTTTTTTAGGTGTTGCTCCAAAATCGAAAAGTGGAACTACGAGATAAAGAAACAGCGGGCTGATATGACCCGAGCGTCTGCCTTCTTTTTGTCCCTACGACTTAGTTTCGATATGGACAATCACAAACACAATCTTACCTTGATAAAAATATTCTCTTCTAGTAGAATGGGAGACAAACTTACAAGATGAAACTTCAGGAGACTGCACTAATATCTTTTCCCAAGCCAAAAATACAAATCAAATGGTAAAAATAAAGAAACTACCTAGATACTTTCTCAGCTTCCATCTTTCTTCTCCCCATATGACTTGCACTATTTGGCTTATTATTTCTGTTTTCTGTGTTGTCATGTGGTTCATCATCCACATAAATAATACCATCTTCATCATCATTATAGTTGGCTATATCTATCTCACCCTCATCAACCCAATCTTCTTCGCCATCCTCTTCATCATCGTACTCTACATCGTCCTCTTCATCTTCTTCCTCATCATCCGTACCAGCTCGCAGGCTGTGGAACTCAGGAGGAGGAGGGCAATCTTCTGTTTCTGCCTTGTCCCTCTTTATCACCAGATGCCGAATGACTCTCTCATCTTTGTCTAGCATGCTTTTAAAATCATTAATCCATTTAGCTTCGAACTCGAAATTCATCAAAATATAGTGAGCATTCCTGGCTTTCTGTATCTTGTACGCCAGTCTTCGAAGACCCCAATCACTGAATCTCCATATCTTGCCTTTCTTCTCCCTTATAAAGTCTGCAAAAATTTTGCATCATGGATATTAAGAAGAAATTCTTATTATTTCTTTCTCACAAAATGGCACGGGTCAAAGAAATATAACATAAAATGTTGCCTATGAAAATACATAAAAAAGAAAGAACACAAAGAAAATTGACCCAAGTTTTCGCTAGGACATTTTCTTTCATTTTTTTTTATGCTGAACTCTTCTTCTTCATGGCAAGTAACATCCATTTATTTATAATAAAATAAGACAAAAGTCTATCGATTTTGCAGCCCACAATTTGAAAATATCTACAGAAAATTCAATGAGCATTAACTGGAAAATTGATGAAGTTTCATCCAATCAAAAGGAAAACTCACCTTGAACTTTTGTATTTACACTCTCAACATCTTCTACATGGTTCTCATGAATTAAATAAACCACTTCATAGTGCCGCACTGGGAAAACAAGAAAAATGAGAAATGAAACAAGGTTAATTCGGCAAACCAAACCCATGTTTCAACAATTTTCCTTTATCATAAAGCAATTGTTTCTTAAAAAAATAACATCAGGCCAAAATGCATCTAGCAACAAAGGAACAAGAAATAGACAAACATAACCTATTTTCTAATGTTTTTATTTTTTTTGTAATCGATTTGGCAGCAAGAAAGAAAATTTTGATATCTTACAATAAAATTGGACTAAAAAGATCTCCATCAAATCCTTGATTTCTTTTGATTAAGTCATATGGGTACCAATGTTATGTCCATATTGGCTTTCCTTTTAGTTGTCTTCTTGGCAAATGAGATGAACCATGTATTTGTATCATCATAATTTCAAACCAACAGCCGGCAATGGGTTGAAAGATAAAAGTAAAACCAGGCATCCTCGAGGTCCAAATAGTAAACCTATCATGCAGCGTAAACAGGTATACAGCAAGTTTCCCAGAAGCCTTCAAAACCCCCCTAACCACTTAATCTACTGCAATTTCTAAGAAAGTAGGAATTATGAGGAAAGAGCTTACTTCGTTCTAAATTCAGATCACTTTCTAGCTGAAGATTCAGAGCTTCATATAGTTCCCCTGCAATGAACAACCAATTCAACTACCGCAATCTCAGGTACTCTGATAAAGATTTAACAAACCAAAAGATATTCAGAACAAAAATAATCACTTACGCTCCTCGGCATCAGCAAACTCAGGTAGAAGCCTACCATCTTCTTGAACTCTTTTCTGATATTCAAAGCAGTAAAAGAAGTAACCGCTTAGTTAAATATCAAGAAAACAAACGGAAAGCTACCCATTAAGAACTTGAAATAAACAGAGACAATTTTAGCAACCAAAAATGCTATCACCTGGATTCAAAAAAGTGAAGATCAACCAAAACCCAAAATTTCTCACAACTTAGGAAACCAGAACTTGTATTGCAGACACACACACACACACACACACGAGTTCACACATATGCAAATATTTACTAGATATGTATATATCTCACAAGGCTTGTTCATTATTGAATCCCTATTTCACAAAATTCCTCCTAAACAGCGCAGTATCTATACTTATCTTTGAGAAACCCAAATAAAAACCACACCCACTTATTATCCTAGGGTTTCACCAGTGGTTATGGTGCTCATAGTGTTACCAGAATTTGCACAATCAACAAGTAAATATCCAAAACCCTGGACGAGAACTCTTACATCCATATACACATACAAAACCCCCCACCCCCAACACAAACACACACATGCATATGCGAATATTTATACATATATAAGCGTCTTTGTAGTAGAAATGAACCTCTTTAAGCAAGACAGCTTCAGGGAAAGGGCCAGTGGCTTCGTCTGGCTTGGGTACAAACCTATGCGTATCATCCTTCTTCTTATTCCTATTCTTCTTGTCCTTGTTGGCCACTACAATCACTGAGGTCCTAAGCCTAGGTGGGGGCTTCTGCGAAGAAAATGGTGAGAAAGAAGAGTACCCATTTGCAGAAACCAAGCAACAACTTCGATTCGCAGTCAATTTTGCTGTTCTCGGAGAGAGATGATGAGTAGTTGAAGAAGATTTCAACACCAGTCCGTCCATTGAGTCAGCAAAGTTATCAGAAGATTAGACGATCCCATATGCAACAACACTATGAGCAGGTTTCACAAATAGGAGAATGGGGTATGGGTAAATTACTCGAATAGTCCCTAAAAGTTGTCATTTGTTGCATTTTCATGGGTTTTTTTACGGAAATTAAAATTTTATTTTTGTACATTATTTCGGTTACTTAAAAAATAAAAACATTTTAACCGTTTTGAAAAAAATTATGTAGCCGACTCAAACACATTGAAAACACATACAATAAATTACCAAGCAAATATTAACCCAATTTGACCACAATGTTACTGGTACTACCATTGCCCCTAAGAAATTGTCAAAAAAATCTAACAATTATAAAGACTAGCTAACAACAAGTAGTAAGAAACTCCCCAGAAAGAATCAAAGATGTACAAAACTAATGTTCGTGTACCAACTTTTGTTGCATTGCTAGACTGATGATTTGAGTTCTGTTCATTAAAGCAAATCTTTAAGCATTTTGTCATTAAATACAAAACCCGTAATACAAAAACTAAACAAAAGAATGACTAAACCCATAATATATTTAATCATCTAACCATATAATGACAAAGTAGGAAGGTTGTTCACCAATAACACTCAAGAAAGAAGCCCACCAAAGTTTTCTTATATGCAGGAAATTCCAAATAAGTTGATTGAAAATAAAGNTATATATCTCACAAGGCTTGTTCATTATTGAATCCCTATTTCACAAAATTCCTCCTAAACAGCGCAGTATCTATACTTATCTTTGAGAAACCCAAATAAAAACCACACCCACTTATTATCCTAGGGTTTCACCAGTGGTTATGGTGCTCATAGTGTTACCAGAATTTGCACAATCAACAAGTAAATATCCAAAACCCTGGACGAGAACTCTTACATCCATATACACATACAAAACCCCCCACCCCCAACACAAACACACACATGCATATGCGAATATTTATACATATATAAGCGTCTTTGTAGTAGAAATGAACCTCTTTAAGCAAGACAGCTTCAGGGAAAGGGCCAGTGGCTTCGTCTGGCTTGGGTACAAACCTATGCGTATCATCCTTCTTCTTATTCCTATTCTTCTTGTCCTTGTTGGCCACTACAATCACTGAGGTCCTAAGCCTAGGTGGGGGCTTCTGCGAAGAAAATGGTGAGAAAGAAGAGTACCCATTTGCAGAAACCAAGCAACAACTTCGATTCGCAGTCAATTTTGCTGTTCTCGGAGAGAGATGATGAGTAGTTGAAGAAGATTTCAACACCAGTCCGTCCATTGAGTCAGCAAAGTTATCAGAAGATTAGACGATCCCATATGCAACAACACTATGAGCAGGTTTCACAAATAGGAGAATGGGGTATGGGTAAATTACTCGAATAGTCCCTAAAAGTTGTCATTTGTTGCATTTTCATGGGTTTTTTTACGGAAATTAAAATTTTATTTTTGTACATTATTTCGGTTACTTAAAAAATAAAAACATTTTAACCGTTTTGAAAAAAATTATGTAGCCGACTCAAACACATTGAAAACACATACAATAAATTACCAAGCAAATATTAACCCAATTTGACCACAATGTTACTGGTACTACCATTGCCCCTAAGAAATTGTCAAAAAAATCTAACAATTATAAAGACTAGCTAACAACAAGTAGTAAGAAACTCCCCAGAAAGAATCAAAGATGTACAAAACTAATGTTCGTGTACCAACTTTTGTTGCATTGCTAGACTGATGATTTGAGTTCTGTTCATTAAAGCAAATCTTTAAGCATTTTGTCATTAAATACAAAACCCGTAATACAAAAACTAAACAAAAGAATGACTAAACCCATAATATATTTAATCATCTAACCATATAATGACAAAGTAGGAAGGTTGTTCACCAATAACACTCAAGAAAGAAGCCCACCAAAGTTTTCTTATATGCAGGAAATTCCAAATAAGTTGATTGAAAATAAAGGTGAAAAAATGCTTTCCGGACCATGCTTCCAATTTCAGAATAGTAATATGAATACAATGAGTTTCTAGATACACACCATTGATGATAACAGAGCTAGCGACTTGTGCAAGCTGAATCAACACACTATCGAAAATAAATCCAGCACCCAAATGAGTACTTAGTGCCTGGCACAAAAAGGTGTAATTATGAAAATCATATACAAAGTTCTCTAGATTAGCATCAATCCTCTCTTTGGAATCTATAATCAACAACCATAGAATTCACTTAAGGTCAAAACCAAAAATCGAAAATTATCTCAAACCCAAAACCATACCCACCATTCAACATTAAAAATCTGGTGTTTCAATATATCAACAAAAATTGAATCAACAACTACAGAATTCACTCAAGACCAAAATCAGAATTCGACAATTATCTTAAACCCAAAACCAACATACCCACCATTCAACATTAAAAACCTAGTGTTTTGGGGCATTTTGTTAAACATATTGTGTGTGTAGGGTGTATGTCCTAAGTGTGTTGTTCGTTGTATATATCCTATACAATCAGGAGAGAGAGAGAAATAGAGAGATACGGAGTGGGAGAGAAGTTGAGAGACAAACAAACAGAGAGAAAGATGAGCAGCGGTGTAAAGGGGATGAGAAAAAATAGAAAAAAAACTGAGATACTTGGGCAACTTCTGGATGTTGAGCAGTGGGTGGAGGTGGTTGTCGTTTGGCAATGGTTTTGCTTCACAGAAAAGGATAACGATGGAGCTCTAGATGTGAGAGAGAACTGGGCATGAGAAAGAGCAGTGGGTGACAGTGGCAATCGTTTGGTGGTTTAGAGCTAGGCATGAGAGATATGGGGGATGAGTTTGGGGTGAATATTGAGTTTAAAAGACAGGGGTTTCGGGGAATAGAGAGGGTAAGCATAAAAGAGATAGAGGCGTGAGATTACGGGATTCAAAATTGAGATTGGCAGAAGATTTGAGATTGGGAGAGAGAGGCAGAAATGAGATTGAGATGGATTCCATGAGAGAGATTTTAGGATGAGTTTGGAAGGCAGGATAGATTTCAGAGGAGAAAGAAAGGCGTGAGTCAAGAAAATTGGCTTTGAGGCGATAAAGGAATGAGGAAGAGAGATTTAGAGAAAGTTAAAAACCCTAATAATTAAAAAATGAAATGTTGGTAAGCGGAAAAACAAAAATCAGTATTCATTATAGACCATCAGATCAGTATTTATGAGATGATATAAACCGTCTTTTATGTTGGGATTACGTTGTCCGTTAGATATATTTATGTTTTGTCTCAAAATGATCTGAACTCGTCTTTATCTCCAAAATTCAAACTCAATTTTATTTTATTATATAGATATATAACTCTATAAAATAATCTTTCTTCAATGGCACCAACGACTTCAACTGCACCAGCGACGACAACGGTAAGGGCAACGACAAAACTGACAACCATTGTAATTGTCACCACCTCGACGAACTCATTACTCTTTCTCTCTCTCTCTCATTCTCTCTGCGTGTGTTTTTAGTGCAAGAAAAACAAGGGTATAAACCCTATCCCCAATCAAAAATCTCTCTCTCTCTCGCAGAGCTCAGAAACATTGCCCACTACAACTCCAAGTATCGTCCACTGCAACTCCCCCAAATTTAGAGATCAAAGCCGAGATTGTGGAAAGAATTGGGCTTGATTGCCCATGAAGGTCTTGGAAAATCAAGGTTTGAATCCATGTAGGTATGTGTGAATGTGGATTTGTGTTGTGAGTGTGTATTTGTGATTTTGTGTTGTGTTTGTGTTTGTGTTTGTTTTAGGATTTCCAAAGGACAGATGTATTGGGTCTGGGGGTGGAGACACAGTAACGAGGGAGAGATAGAGATAGAGATAGAGATAGAGATAGAGATAGAGATAGAGAGAGATGTGTTGGGTTTAGGGGTGGAGACGCAGTAATAAGGGAGAGAGAGGGGGAGAGAGAAGAGAAAAAAAAAAAAAAGGAGGTGGGTGTTTAGGTTCATGTTTAATGTACACATGAAGAATAATTATGTTTGGACATATAAATAGTTATAAAATATTAAAAATGCCTCTTAATCTCCTCATGTGCCAGGCAAATAATATTTTCTATTTATTATTTGGACAGCCCCTAGAGATAAGGACCAAAATGAGTCAATGTTTTAATATAAAGGATAAAATTGATGAAATTAGAACTTTAGAGATGAAAATACAACAAGTGGCAAACCTCATAGGCCATTGGTACAACTAACCCAATGGGGCATTTGGTAATTTCAAGGTTGAATTTAACATTTTTTTGGGAGTATACACCTAACTTCTTGATTTTTTTTCAATTTAGGGAGAATTACATTCCGACCCCTGAAGTTTATCATTTAATCACTCAAACTCTCTAACATTTGAAATATTACGGAGAGACCTCCTAAAGTTTGTATGCCTGTAATACTTTTATTTATTACATGTGTCTAGGCTTGTGCCAAGTATACCGTCGAGTTCAACAATTACAACCGTGACTTGAGTTGGTTAGAGTATATTTCGGAGAAAAAAAGGACCATTAGGTCATCTCCACTCCTTACTCAAACTCTTACTCAAATTTAAATTTAAGTAAAAACAGTTTAAAAACAAATTCAAGTATTTAACTTAAACATGTACTAAATGAAGAAATACTCAACTCTTTACTCAAATCAAGACAGACTTAAATTTTTAATGATCAGATTTCACTTTTTTAAAAGATTCAATTGTCATATTTCACTTTCCTTTAAATTTGAGTTTGTTCTTCTTTAAATTTAAAGTTGTTCATTAGAATGTCTTGTACCAAATCAAACTTTTTGCTCATTTTTTTACTCAAAATTGAGTTCAAGTTTAAGTCAACATTGGAGATGCCTTTAGGAGTGTTGATGTTTTAGATTGTAGTGTATTACCCAATTTATTTGTATTAAAAACTTTTATGGTATCTATATTTTTTTTTTTTTGACTATTTTAAAATTTAGCCATATAAATCTTTTTTTTTTGTATAAGCATTTGATTCACACAGATATGGGGCAGCTATTTAACATCAAAAAATTGTCAAACAAAACGTTTGCTAGATAATTCAAGTGGATAGTTTAAGTGGTAACAAAAACGAGATATAAATTCAGATGTTCTAAATTAAAATCTTGATAACTCTTTTGGAGTTAGGTCACGAGGAGTTTATCCCTCATGAATATCATAGTTTTGACGTGAATGATCTATCTTTAATCGAACCAAAGGAAAAATTAATCGAGATGTGAGTAAATTAACATGCACACTTTTGACCGTTAAAAAAAAAATGCTTCCCTCTCGGGCGGAACAATAACATGCGACTTTGTTGGGCCATTCTTTATTGTGCATTTTTTTTATATGTTAAACTTGACAATACATTAGCACACGCGCGCACACACATTATTTCGTAATTTTAACATAATCACCAACAAATGGGGCCCATTTAGGAACAATAGAAGAAAACAAGAATAATAGCATCATACACTTCCTCAGGAAAAAAAGAAATCAATGTGACTAGAGAGAAGTAGCATCATATGATTCCTCATAACGAAGGACTGTCACTCGGTCTAAAATCGATCAGATTGTATTGTTTCAATCCAATTTGATCCGTTGGATTGAAAAATTCATTCCTTACTCAAATCAATTTTTTTCAGGACATCTGACCTAAAAATTCAATTGGGTCTGGTTATTAGAAAATCAATTCCTGGTGGGCACATGGAATAATTATGTGTAATTAGTTACAAGATTGATGGAATTAGTTCGAGGGGTAATTGGGTTGAAACCCCAATTAATATAACCATAACAGCCCAAATCTACGAGGAAAGTCCATCAGTGGAGCCTATACCGTGAGAACCGCAAGTAGAAATGTTAAAATATAGCACAACATGAACATAACTCGGAATTAAAAAGTTATGAATCTTTTTTAAATTATTTTTTAATAAACGAATAGACCTAACCCAACCTGACCTGTAATTAGAAAGTTTAAGTTTTCCTTAAACCACCCATTTTATAAATGAGTAGACCCGATACAATATGACACAATTAATAAATTATTTGAATATGAGTAAAGTTAATTAAAAACGAATCGTTTATATACTAATTATATATAATTCATATACTCTATAAATCTAATATAACGTGATTCATTGAATAAAAATTAATAAAAAAATTATATATAAATAGAATATTTTTTGACACAAACCTATTAAGATTCACTCTAAACCCGCCTCACCTGAACAATTAATAGTTTTAACCAGAAACACTCCCAAAAATCGACTCCTATCATAACCTAACCCTGCACTACACAACTACAATAAAAACAACAAAATCCTCGTAGGAGTCAAAAAGATCCTAAAAAGGGCACCGTAAGGAACTCAACCACTAGTTTAGTGGTGGTGTCTCATTTAATACATAGAAATATAACTGAATGTTTTGATAATGATTCACATAACTGTTTAAACTAATCAATCCCACTTTTTTTTTTTTTTTTATTGAGAGAAACTCACTAATATGAGTTCTTTGTATAGCTATTAAACTAATCAATCCTATTGGGTTTTTTTTTTTTGGGAGAGACTAAATAATGTGAGTTATATGATGTGCGTGCTAGATCTTGCACAATATAAAAACGAGAACAGATCTCTCCCTTGGTGAACTCGAGTGAGTCAGTTGAGTGGTCAACCACGCTGCTTGGAACAGCCTGTGAGATTCGGTGGTAACCTGGAACGGTAATGGGAGATCCTCGCGGATCAAAGGAACGATCCAGTAAGGCTGAAGAAAGGTTCCTGTAACAAAGAAGAATAAGTTAGAAGGGCGCCGAAGTGTTTTTCGGCATATCCCCTCCGACAATCAAGTCAATTTTTGAGAGAGAGGAAGAAGAAAACACTGAGTATAATTTGTAGCAAAAGTTTCACCTCCTTTTCCTTGCCTTTAGTGAAGAGTATTTATACTTCAAATACTCATGATTGCTGTCAGTGTGGTCAGTAGGTGATCATTAGATACAGGCAACGTGCGCACTGATTCCTATGAGAAATGTCTTCTCTTTTAACTGCTCGAGACCCCGAGCAATCAAGACTGTGTCATCGGCCTGCCGACGGTTCAATGAGCTCCTCTCGGGGAGGATGCAATAAATGCCCAGCCTTAGAGACATTTATTGTCTTTCACTTCCGAGCCTTACCGCATTGAATGCAGTCTCATCAAGGGAATGGTGTAATTAAATGTTTGTTTTTCCAAGTCGCGTGTCAGCAAGATCATGAGATCTTTCTGTCTCTGATGTGACACAATATGTCACGCGTCCATTCCCCATTAGCTGTGGGTCCTGCCTTCCTGTGCCTTTTGACACCAATTGTGTAAGACGAGGTCATGATAGCTAACCTAGTTTAGCCTAGGCTAGTGACCAGTGCATTAATAGCCTCTGCTGAAGCAGAGAACTTCATCCTGGATGAGGGGGGTACATCTTGGTACCGAGGAAGAGGTACATCTTAGAGCCGAGGAAGAGGTACATCTCGGAGCCGAGGAATAGGTACATCTCGGAACCGAGGAATAGGTACATCTTGAATCCGAGAGGGAGAGGTCTAGCGATCGATGTACCATATCAGACCGAGGGTACGTGTCGGTACATAAAAACGTACTGGATGCCACTCGATCCTCATGATCAGTACCTCGGGAGGAGAGAGGACTTGTGACCCGATAAGTACGTGATCTCGATAACAAAGATTAATGACACCGAAGACACGTGTCTTTTATCTCAAAATATTTCGAAAATGTCCCATCACACGACACAACATCAGAACTTTGACTTTTTACTGTTCTTGTTAAAAGCTTACACTTCCATGGCCTTCCTTGTATTATCAAAGCATCTTGTTAAAAGCTTACACTTCCATGGCCTTCCTTGTATTATCAAAGCATCAGGTGCCAAAGTATTTTAAGGTACAAGCAACATGAGCATCAGGTGCCATCCTTGCATTATCAAAGCTTACACATCCTCGTATTATCACAGCATCAGGTGCCTCAGTATTTTAAGGTACAAGCAACATGAGCAATGAATCCAAATATAGACAGCCATCAAAACTAAAATCTGAATATATTCTACTATGTTATGCATTTCGTGTATCTATATATCTCCTTGAAATCTTCATATACACATACACGGAGAGAGGGAGACGGGGGTAGAGAATAAGTAAAGAGATGCCTGAGGTTTATTATGGAGATGCAATATGCAGAGAGAAGGTCGGTTTGTTGTTGACAGAAATGGGGTTCTCTGAATGGCTAATACCCCTCCAAAATATAGAAGAATTTCGGTACGAGAGAAAAACTGGGTTTGTGTGGATTAGACAGAGGCAGAAGGGAGTGCACAGAATTGAAGACATTGGGGGTAGGCTCATCTGGTTTGACTATGTCATCACCGCCTATGTTAGCCCCAAAAAGGTCACCCAGCTAACAGGTGTTCAGGCCAAGCAGTTTATCTTTTGGTTCATCTTGAGTGAAATCTACATGGACAACCCTTCACCTGGTCAAATCACAATCAGGACTCGATCTGGCAATACAGTGTCCTTTACACTGTAAGTGATCATGCAGCCTTCTTCCTAACGATGAGTGATTGGTAAGGGGAGAGAGTAAACAAATAAAATATATATAATAAAAGGGAAGATAGAAAACTTACCCACTTTCCTTTGGCTTTCGATAGCGGGCTTCAGAGGAGCAATACCCTTGAAGAAGAGAAGCCATGTTTAAGTGTGCTACTATTGTTTGGTAGAACAGTAATGTCATAGTGATCAAATTTTAGAATCAAATATTTATCTCAAATGATATGACAGTTAACTTGTATTTTTTTATTTGATGTCATGTCATTTAGGTTCTAATAAAGACTTCAAATAATATAATGTTATTTCATTTGAGATGGATATTTGGTCAATAAATTTGACTACTATAACATTACTTTTAGTAAAATAACAAGTCCATCAATGTGTACTTGGTGACCGGTTGGTCTTGTATGTGTTGAAATCTCACATTGGATTAAAAAAAAAATTAAAGTATCCTAATAGAAATATTAATGGCCTCTACGCCTGTCAAAGTCGGACACAACACAAATTAAACGAGCTTGGTTAAGACTTTAACGAATTCGGGTAATAAACGAATTGATTTATCAAATATGTTTAATAAACGGGTCGTGTTCGGGTGAATATTGTGAACCCGTTTATCTATTTAAATAAAATTAATAATTATTTTAAAAAATTAGACAAATTTTTTTTTAATGACAGCCACAAAAAATATATATATTATTTTTAGTGATAGCCACATAATTTTTTTTTTAATTTAGTGAGTCACAAAAAATATAATAATAAATTAAAATTAAATGAGTCAAACGAGTCATGTCATATTACCCGCTTATTAAACGATTCGTGTTTGTGTTGAGATTTTTCACCCGTTTATTAAACGGGTCATGTATAAATTTACATATTTTTCGCACGTCACCCGTTTAACTCGACACGTTTGACATGCCTAATGACCTCCCCTTCTATAAACTTAAATGAGTATGAGTTCCAAATATGTAATGAACAGTCATGTTTATGTACATCAATTATGTTCAATCGAAGAAAAGAAAACCAATCTGTGAAGTAATGTAGGGGGGCGAATATGGATATGAGGCCGCAAATTGCATTTGAGATTACAAGTGTGGGATTGAGAGTGGGACCTCCTTTCTCGTCGACTAAGAGGGCGTGGGCGTCTCCCATCTTCCCATCAAATTGCTTACATATCTCGGTAAAATTAAAAGATCAATCGGGAACTTCGCTTGCAAGAACTTAAGCACATCCTTGCTGCAGCAATTTAGCTATCTGCCCCTTATATATCTGCAATAGGATTCAAGGAAATGTTTCATACAACAAACAGATACATTAAGCTAAAATACAGCTTAGAAGATGAAACATGTAAAATGCGAACTTTCATGTGTAAGCAGCACCGTATTGGAAGTCCAGAGATCCTAATTGTAAGTTAATGTCTCACAAACAATCAAAACCTTACATAATACTGTTTTTGTGTAGGGCTTTGAAAAAGTTTGCTTAGCAGAAAGGAGTCCCTTTTAATACCCACCAAAAGATGAGATCTCACAAAAGTAGAATCAACAACTGATTGGCCTGCCATTAAAAGCAAAATGATCTGAAAACGGTGTTCGGACGGGGACAACCTTTATAATTTAGATGAAGTAGCACACGCCACATAGGGTGCCAAGGGAAGTAACATTCATCCAGAATTATTAAGGATTGTGCCATAATATAAGGAATCCAGGACATAAGTTACTTAGAATAAAATCCACTGGTGTTGATGTTACCTTTATTTGAACATGCTTGGTGGAAATTTACAGGGATGTCTATTAACTACTAACTGCATGGATAAGAAATCAGAGGCTTGATTCAAGTGGCTGAAGGACCAATTCATCAAAATCAGTTTGAGGTTTTTCTTTTCTTTTGAAGGAGAGAGGCTGCAGGATATATCGTGAGATGCGGCTGAATGGGTCTTGCAGACCTTCCATCTCATAATGTCCAAAGCGCCAATCCCGTTCAACATATGGTCTCCATATGGGCTCATCAATTCCACCTGTGAAAGAAAGATGTAGTACCTCTATTAAGAAAAGATAATTTGCGAGTTTATACAAATTAATGAAATTTGAACACCATAAGAACAATAAAAGGTCTTCAAATTTGCTGGAGGAATTATTGTCCTGATATGGCTGTTCTGCTCCTGTGCCATTTACTTGGAAAGCAAGCAAGTGTGATGACTGACATGATTTTAAAAACAATAATTACAAAATAAACCCTTTTCGGTCAAACAACTAATGCCAATGTTGAAAATACTAAGAAGTTTGATTTACCAGAAATTACCTTCAATGGGGACAAAGGTATATTGGTATACATATAAAGGAAGATGATCCAGACTAGTAACAGAATTCTCAATATCTACGTTAACTATTATTTCTAATATCTCCAAATTCTCAAGCACAAACAGTGAGTGAACCTCTGCTACACCCAGCTTGTGCTAATGATCCAGCATCAGAAATATGTTGCTTGTGAACCAACTAGCAAAGTGTCAAATGACTGGCTTTATTGGTTCTAGCAGCAGATAAAATTGATTACACTGTTCCAATTCTGCACCTTTGGAAACTATACCGTTACACGATACGTATAAACTCCGCATCTCATACAACTTAGCCGAGTCATCTGAGTTGTATCCGGGTCAATCCCAGGTCACCAAGTTATTGTCACCAAAAGCTAATTCCGCGGCTCCGCGGTATGATTTGAATCTCTTGTCATGTTCAAAATTTAATTTTAAGTCGTATTGCCCAATACCGCACTGCGATCATTATATTTCAGAACTCTCTGAGTTGATGATCAATACCGCGACCTTGAACCATGACACAAATACAAGAGCCAAGGAGGGGGAAATCACATTGCTTTTGAGATCAGGTCCTCTAAGTTGTCAAAGTCATAAGCAGTGGATTCCAAAAGGAGATTTTTGGAGTTTTCTATTTTCCGAATTTGTTTTTCTTTTGTGGAGCCAGAAAAAGGGGGGTTGCATGCCCTCCAATCCTGCACAAGCTTCGCCCTTGGATCTCACTCAAAAATTAAATAGGGATACAGTCAAGGAACTATCTGGAAACCAGTATGGGGCCGGAAAAGTCTATCAATATTATCCCAAGAACCATCAAAAACCAGATAACATATGACGTAAGATTGCAATAAGGAAATAAAAGAAGTTCAATGCACATCTTACCAGCATACATTAAAGCATGTTTATTGACTGCTCGATAGAATGGCCTTGTTTTCTTCTCTTTAGCAGCTCTTTGAAGTTCATTCCATGCATGTTTCCTGTCTCCCCGTGTGATCTTACCTGAGGTCGCCACCTGAAATCAAATTCCCAGCTACAGTATCAATGAGTAAGTATAATGAGAAAGAAAAAAATGGAAAAGTGAGAAACCAGAGACAACAGTTGTTACTTTGGAAAACAAATGATATGAAGGACGTGGAATCCGTGCAAGATTATTGGAACGATCAACTGCTACAAGTCCAAACTTAGGACCATACCCATCAGCCCACTCCCAGTTATCAGAAATAGTCCAAAACAGGTAACCAAGCACAGGAACACCCTGTAAAATAATTTCAGGTGGGTGAGTTCTTGAAACTCCTAACAGATTTTTTAATTCCAGGGGAACTGAAAAGTGAAGCTTAGAGTTTAAACCATTGTCATAGCAGCATAGATTGCAAGTAAATGTTCCAACAAGTAAGGTTGTCGGATTAAATCTGTCTCATCAGAAACACCATTCTCAGTTATGATAAAGGGTACATTTAGATGCTTGTATCTGTCATGGAACTGAAGCAGCATGCGATACAAGCCATCAGGATATACCCCACGCCCAGATTCGCTGTACTCATCAGTTTCTACTAGCTTCAGTCCAGTGCCAGAGATCACTTCCTGACGAACAAAAAGTATTAAGATTTATATGCCTGAATTATGCTGGAATAACAAAGTAAGTGTTTGTGTCAAAGTAGTAAATAACCTGGCCATAGTAATTTATTCCTATAAAATCCAGCTTGCCAGAGATATCATCCAGATATGGAAAGAGAGTCAATGAATTAGCCAGTGTAACAGCAGCAACATCAAAGAGGCCATATGGGCGCATGAAAGAGACATGGTGTGCAACTCCAACAATTGAATCCGATATCATGCTGCCAGAAGCAAAAATTGGTCCAGTACAACGGTAACAATTAGAGATCAACTGAAATTTGTGAATAGTTATTAGAAACAAAACTAAATTTGTAAATAGTAATTATAAACAAAACTATCTTACTTGTTAGTGGGCAAAACTGATGGTCTATAAGCAACCAAAAGGTAGGTGGACATAAATGTTAAAGAGTCCATTAAGTAGGGCTTTAGATGATTATGCATTGTTCATAATTGCCTTGATAAGTAGAAATCTCCAAACTGAAGCCTGGCCCTTTGTAGGAATGTTCCTTTGATTGAGCTTCTATTCAAACAGATCTTGAATCCAGTTCGAGTACCTTGGGTAGTTGGGTTTTTAGATAATCCAAAAATACTATTAGCTTATCGAGAGTGCTCAATGAATTGACAAACTTCAAATTGTAATCAAACCTGGCTAATTCATCTCTAAAGTCGATCCAAACAAGCCTATGACCAAGGCCATCATAAGCCAACCCGATAAGGTCAATTCTTATTACAACCCTACACTTTATAGGGTTGGATGTAAATGGTCCCCAAAGCAAAAAAAACTCAGAGACCAATCTTGACAATTCTATCACTTCACAATCCCCATTCCCAAACAAAAAACAAAGGGGAAAAAACAATACCTGCAAAAAACGACATTCTACTTTCCATTATTTTTTCCTTTTATCTTGTTCCCATGGCGCAGCTGGGCCATCCTGGACTTGTTTTCTTTTTCTTTCTTTTTTGTTTTTTCTTTGGTGTTGGGGGGGAGATACTGTGCGGGAAGTAGGGTATACTTTGTAGAAGTATAAATGCAGCTTTTGAGAATCATCAATTATGATAGCCGAAACCATCACATTTGGTACGACCACAGTACACCCATTGTCGAACCTAAAAGGTGGGCAACCAGGACTTATATGCATGTATGCACATATAGGTCTCACACACCATGCAGTAGCTCTGAATAAACCGGCATATGATGCACTTATGGGACCATTGATGCATGCGGTAAAAACTTGGTTATAGGATAAGTTAGCAGCTAGTCTACCCTTCCTAAACCTAGCTTTCGCAGAGCAACGGTGGGTAATGAGTAATGGCTTTTTTTACACAGCTACACACCACAATATAGACTTTAGATATAAACAAACAAGACAAGAAAGTATGACTTTTCACATCTGTTTATGGCTATGCTGAATCTGATAGGTTTGCAGAGAAACCTTTTTTCATGTATATATTCATAAGCCTTCGAATGCGCAATTGCCATCCAATGCATGGTTTGCTTGAATACACCAGTAGGTAGAGCAGAAGTGGCAGCCTCCAGCATATCAGGATGTCCACCAGGCCAGGCACCCGCACAATAAGTGAGCAAAGAAAAGACGTGGGGCTCATTAAATGTTACCCAGTAGTCTACCATATCTGATACACAGTCAACAACAAGCCTGCAAAGTAGAAAGAGCAGTAAAAAGAGTTCACTGAAGTGATGGGCCAAATATGAGTATCCCCACGAAAAATTTTACAGACATTAAGTGTACAAGGCAAAATGTAATAAGGCATTTGCCAATTAGAAATTAAAAATAAAAAAATTTGCAAACCAAAAATTGCACCAGTTTTCCCTCATCATGTACCAGAATTAAGAATTTAGATGATATACAACAATCTTATGTCAAAATCATCCATGGGGAACTGAAAAGGGTCAAAGAGAGTGTACCAAAAGATGACACAAACAATGTGGACTTATAATTGTGTTATTTGAGTTTGCAGTATTATTTCAATAGACATGTCAGTTGGTCTTTCATTGTACATTTGATGATCACATATTGCATCTAAAGCAGAAGGAAAGGAATATTGGAGTTCTAAGGCACAACATCGCCAAAACCAGCTATCAAAGAATTTGCAGCAGCAACAGAAATTGCATAAATTGGAAATGTCTGAATTTTTCTATCAACATGCCCTTCCTCAAGATCAAGCCTCCTGTGGGATGGCCTATAAATGAGAATAATCTAAGGGATAGAGCCAAAAAATTTCTACCAAATTTTCAGCTACGCAGCCAATGGGAGACGTAATCCTCCGGGTTCTAGTACCAAGTTTCAATCCTCTGACCTCACTTTTCCAGTAACTCTAAACACTCCAGTGTACAATTGATCCCATCAGATCTTGGACAACATCTTGGACTAAGAACTCAGAAAACCAGTGGTTATTGTTAGCATTATTTCGTATATATTTTATGTGCAATTAATTGATTTTAATTAAGACACATTTTTCGGTTAGTTGAGGCAGTGTAACACTTTCTAAGACTTCCTCATTGTCTAATCATGCATCAACTTACTAACTACATACCCCCAAAAGCAAATATTATTATTAGCTAAATGATGGTCACACTACTACCTCTTAAAAAAGAAACAATAGGAAAAAGACCCGATAAATAATTTTCCCTCTATACGGCTTCAAAGGAGAGTAAAGAGTTCCACTATGTTCAAGCTATGACATACACGAGAAATGAAGCCATACCTACAAGAATATCTATGAATTCCCACCAAGATCTTTCAACATGCAATTAGTTACATAAAGTGAATAGGGATGAGAAAAGGCATAGGGAAGCTAAAACCCCATAAAACAAAACAAATAATAATCTTACTCATGATATTAACTTTTGAATCTATCACTGACAGGAAGTATAACCTGGTAAATTTCACGAAATAATCAACGGTTTTCTCCAGCTTCCATCCTCCATATTCTCCAGCCCATGGTGGCAGTGAATGATGGAATAGAGTTAGCATGACCTTCATTCCATAGGAGCGAACCCTACCGATAATCCATTTATATCGTTCCAATGCTGCGAAATTGACCTAAGAAAGAATATGAAGCAACTCAATTTTGTAAGTTTACCAACACAAGAGAAAGCATGATAATTAAATGACCTCCAGTGTTACCTCATTTGTATTGCAAAGCAAAGATTCACATGTCCTTACAACACATCAAAAGATAAGTAACCTATTTGTAGATTTACATGTATGTATATTCCAAGGTATTATGCGTGCAAAGATGATATTATATGCATGTTTTGGGCATAGAAATGACATTATAGAGCCTTGGTCAGCAACAAACTTACAGAGTCTTTAAGCCCATTGACAGGCTCCTCCGGCATTATTCTTGTCCAATCTATTCCCATTCGGAAGACACGGACACCAGTATCTTTAGCCAGTTTCAATTCCGTATCCGGATCAGACCAAAACCTTAGCCTCTCCTCCCTGAAATGTAATTTAAATAATCCGTTTATTCTCTAGTCAATGATAAAAAATATTATGTGGTAGTTTTTGGGTGTGATAAACGTAATTGATACTTACAAAAGAAAAAGTTATTGTGGGAAGAGCTAGATAGGCTGTAAGGGTGAAAGAGTTCATTTAGCCACCCTAGATTGTTACGATTTTGAATACGGGTTGAACTAGACATAACAACATATACCTTCCTATGCACCCCGCTCTTAGATTTTCCAAAATTGATATTTAAAGTGCTGGGCTTACGGATGCGGAACATTGTGCCAGGCAGCAACGTTATGGTGACATTCTTCAATTGGTACAGGTTCTTCCTCTTCTATGTACTTCTCAAATCCTCTAATTTTTGCTTCCATAGCTATTTTAAGAGACTTCTTTCTTCTTATGGTCCTATTAACTTCCCTGCCAGGTAATGGAGCTTGCTGAGATCCACCATCACCAGTAGCAGAACCCAGTAGTGGATCCGCTGGTTGCAGGCCTTGCTGTGACGCTGATTTGTCGCAAGGATTATTTTCTGCAAACTGGAGCCAGGCATCATGGAGCCTGTCTTCAACGTGCGCTGGTGCTGTTGCCAACCCAAAAAAGAACTCTTTGTCCCCTTCTACAGAGAATGACAGGACACTTGCATTATAAATCCATTTGACAAAAATAAGGGGCCGATTATCCTGAGATTGAACAAGTCACATGATATTCACAAATTCATACCAGCGAAACTGAAATGTAAATCCCTCCCAACTCCAAAATAAATCCTGAATATGGGTTACTTAACATGAACTGGCCTGGAGAAAGTATTGCTTCCACCAAACCCACTAGGAGAATGCTTACCTAATTGTATGTAAAAATAATACAATAGGAAGTTCATCAGTGTTTGGTGGAGAAAATTTAGCAGTCTGCATAGCTTCTCAAAAATCCACCAGCAAAATTACTAAGATAAGAGGCTCCTCTAAACCACTCAAATTCAAGAAAGATTGCAGGTCAGCACTGGATGGTAGGGGATCTGCTTGGCTCAGATTACTAGAAAGGCTAATCAACAATTTAATAACCACCAGCTAAAAGCTTAATTTGAAAGCTTGATTGCTCAAAATTTATAACAACGGGAATTCACAAGCTCAATTAGGCCATTGAGAATACTATAACAATAAAGTGTAAAAGGCATAGAGAGCAAGAACCGACCAGCTGAGTTTGCTCCAGTCAAATTCAAGCAAAGTGAGCCGGCACTTTCAATACAACGGACTCAGTTCGATTAGTTTCGAATCCTTAACTTAACAAGTCGTCATATATATCTCAACGCGTACAGGATTTTTCTAGTAACTACCCGAACACTAGAACAGAAATTAATAATGTTCGATACGCAACAATAAACAATTAATTGTATAAAAAAGACATATTCCAAATTAAGGAATCAAAATCTCCATTTGGAATCTCACGAATTGTTTATGATATGTATCGCATCTTCAACAATTCATTTACCATTTGAGTATGCTTATACAGTGGTTATGATATGTACATATGTCTAAATTAGGTTTTGAAGAATAGAAGTTACCGGTGGAGGGATTAACGTTGAAGACAGCAAGAGCGTCAGAAGACTCGTCGATGGGAGAGTGGAAGGATTTGAGGTTCTTCTTACGGAAACGAGAGAAGGAGAAGGCGTTGGCGGCGACGGTGACTGTTACTACGAGTCCGGCGAGCTTCGTCGCCGACACGAACAGTGCTATCAACGCCATCACTGAATGAAGAGATTGAAATTAAGTCCCAAAACTGCTGTTGTGTGTTCGAGTGGTGAAATGGACAGAACTGAACTGCTGAGGATTGATTGGCGTATAAGATCCGTCCTGTCCATCACTCGCTCCCTTGCAATTTCATTCGACTAAGTGAATGACACGTATTTAAATTTAATTCAATAGATTAGATTTTTAAAAAGCAATCACATTAATTAAATCATATTTAATTGTATACTTAGAGACATTTATTGAGATAACTAACTGTTAAAGTTAAATTAAGCACTTGCCACACTGCTTCATTACCTACATATAAATCATAATGGAAGGAATTCGCTAAAATTTCTTTCAATTTTCAACTAATTTATCTTGAATTTATTTTGTTGCGATTTTACTCTCATTATTCAAGAGGTGTGTGTTTATCATAAATAAAACATTTTATTCACACAAAACACTTTGTTTGTTGGAATGAATAATCATTGGCAAATGGTGATTTTTGGAGGAGATAACTGAATTGTTTCAGTGGCTTTTTGAGAAATTCTTAAGGGCAATGTCTGGGAAAAAATCAATATCAATTATCACCGACCAAAATTCAGCCATAGCTAAGGCAATTTCACTAGTAATGATAGAGATATATTATCGGTTATGTATATGACACTTAGAAAAAAATGTTTGTATGCACCTTAGCCATGTCTTTAGAGGTCATGATTCATTTAGTAGTGATTTTGACAAGCTTTTTCACCATTACGAGGATGAGCATGAATTTGTGAATGCTTCATATGCTATGCTTGCGAAGTATAATCTCAGGAAACATGAATGGTTAAAGAAGACATTTGATTTGACAGAGACATGGCCCATTGCATGTGGAAGAAATTGGTTTCTAACCGGCATAAGAAGTACCTTACTAAGTTAGAGTTTCAATAGGTCGCTTAGGGGATACTTAAAATCTGATTTGGATTTAGTGCAAATTTTTAAGCACTTTGAAAGGACAAGTTGATGATAAACGATACAATGAATCAAATGTTCTTTTTGACATGACATAACAACTCCCAATATTGAAAATTGAATTTCTATTATTAAGATATGCGAGGGATATTTATACGTTAGCTATGTTTGATATGTTTCAATATTAATGGGAGAAATCATTGCTTGTTATAATTAATGATTGTAGTGAAGATGAAATGTATCATACATACAAGGTTGGAGTCTGTGAAAATATTCGGGAGCATATGATTATTTCACATCCATCAGATATAATGGTTTCTTGTAGCTGCAAATTATTTAAATATCTTGGGATTCTTTGCAAGCATGCCTTAAAAATATTTGACGTTGTGAATATAAAAGAGACTATACCAAGCCATTACATCTTGAAAAGATAGACAAATGGTGCTACTGTTATAAATCCAATTGAAATAACCAAATACAAGGAAAATGATCCAGTCTTGGAAGCCACCAAGAGGTATAGACATTTATGTCCGACTTTTGTTCAAATTGTAACTGAAGCTTCGGATCTAGAGAAGGATATGAAGTGGTTGCAGAGTACGCTAATGAGATAAATGCAAAGCTCAAAGATGTTGCAAAGGCAAGATGCGAAGCTCAAGTAACCTCGTCAACCAGATTTGATGATTCACTAAATAATAATGGTGCGGGAGTCTTTGTTGACAGTTCAAATGTGACAAAGGTGGTTGGTTTAAAGAGAAAGGATCCAAAACATCATGGTAACACTCGACTGAAAAAGCTCATTGGAAAAGATTTCAAGAAGTAAAAAGAAGGCTTCATTGACGCAACTCGTAACTCATGCCAGTTGGTAATTTCATTCTATCTTATTTAATTCTTTAAGTCAATTTCATAGTCTAACTTTTTTCAAAATGCTAGGGACTAGAGGTACCAGGTTATAATCCTTGGTATATTTCTCAGCAATCTCAAGAATTGCCTCAAGGAGACTTGTCTTAGCTCATAAGAGTTAATATCCATATGATTAAATACCTCCATATTTTGCATTTTTTATATGCACTACAAAGATTAACCTTTTCTTTTACTTTGCAGACAATGGATACAGGCCTCTAAGTGTAGGATTCATAAGAAAGTCACAATATTTTGTTCAAAAACTACTATTGTCGCTAATACTTTTTGGAAGAGTGTTCTCAACATACCATTGGGGCATCACTGTTTGGAAGCTATAATTTTTTTTCTCTTCCAACATGATGGATTCACTATTTAAATTTATTGAGACATTTGCTAAAATAAATATCATGTCAAATTTCAGTGGTCAAAGTTCTTAACTTTCATATTATATAGCTTAATTTTATTCCTTATCTCATATTCCAAGTTTGACTACTATTATATTAGCCCAAAAAAAGAAAGGGACTATATATCCTTTCTAACTAAGAACAACAGAATCAAGGATGATATCTATAGAGGGGATGGGGTTTGGGTTGCTATATCATGTAAATCCAAATTATATTGCAAAATTATAGGAAAAAAAAACAGAGGAATTTCTTTAGAGTTCTCCAAACAAGGGAGAAGATGTGTCTTATTGTTACATAAAAATTAAATTTCATTCAAGACTTTTGACAAACACCTCATGGTCAATAAAGTTATCCAATCAAATCTACCTATATATAAAAAATTGACGATAAACAACTTTGATTAAGATGAACCAAGAAATATGGTTTTTTCATGAAGGAGAAATTGATGTCGTTCTCTATCAAAAAAAATGATGCAATTTCTATGGTTGTGATGGGACATTTTCAGACACTCCCAGATGATGACACGTGCACTCAGCGTCAATAGAGACTCTCCGCTGTGATCCCGACACGTCTTCGTCGATTTACAACCTCCTGCCCCGAGGATACTATTCACAGGGACCAAGGATCCCAACACGCCCTAGATCGACACGTATTCCTCAACAGTTTGGGTATATTGGTCTTAGTCATTCTAGTCTCTCGGCACCGAGGTGTGTCTGTCCACATAGGCGTTTCTACTCATATAGGGGTTATTGATGGACAGATCACCAACCTAGGGTAAGCTAGACTAGCCATCATGATCTCGTCTTACTCAAATGGTGTCAGGAGGCACAAAAAAGCAGAAGGCTCAACCAAAGAGAGATGGACACGTGGCATATTGTGTCAAATCATAGACAAAAAGATCAAAATGCCCTCGCTGACACACGACTTGGGAGAACAAGGATTTAATGCATCATTTTCCCTTGATGAGACATCGTTTAATGCATAAGAGCCTAAAAGCGAAAGGTAATAAATGTTCCTATGCCTGGACATTTAATACCTCCTTGCCGAGAGAAGGTCATTAAACGATCGGCAGGCCGAGGAAAAAACATTAGTTATTCGGGGTCCCGAACAGTTATGAATGAGGACATTTCTCATAGAAATTAGTGTGCACACTGTCCACATCGAATGATTACCTACTAGCTACGCTGTCAGCAATGGTGAGTTTTATAAGGTATAAATAGTCCTCACAAACACATTAACAAGGTACGCAAAAAACCCTTTTTCAAGCATCATACAATATTTTCTTTTTCTCCTCTATCAAGGAACTGACTTGATCGTCGGAGGGGATACGCCGAAAAACACTCAAGCGCCCTTCTAGCCTGTCTTTTTCTGTTCCAGGAATCTCTCTTAGCCTCACAGGAACAATCTGGTGACCAACAGGAACTATTCATTACCATTTCTCAGGCCACTTCCGGCCCTTACGACCTGTTCCAAGTAGCAAGATTGACGGACTCGTGTTCACCATGAAATAGATCTATTCTTGTATTTATATTGTGCAAGATCGTACACGCACAGGTTGCTTAACAATTAACGTGTGTCTCACTAAATGTCTTAATATTATGTTTTTTTCTCAAGCTGGACTTTCTGTTGTAAGGTTTATGAATGTCGACCAAGTGGCTTAATATGCTACATGATGAACAGAATGATGAATTAACAGTTAGCTCCATATTGATTCAACTGATTATAGATTATTTTGCCATATATTATATCATAATAGATTATGTAGTTAACATGTATAGTTGGTCATCTCAATGAATGTCTTCAGCTATACAATTAACTATGGTTTAAGCAGTGTGGTTGTTTTGTAGAAATATAGTCAATTGGATTAAATTTAGATACGTATCATTTATCTAGTCGTGTATTAGATGAAATTGAAGGGAGGGGGGTAATGGAGAGGATCTGGATCTTTTACGCCAACCAATCTTCAACAGTTAACAGGCGCGGGAAGAAGATTAGCTTTTGAATAAAAGTCGGTTGGCTCTTATCCATTACAAGCTCTGGTGGTCCAGATGAGAGGACCAGAGCTTGAACTCAGCCTGATAAAAATAAGGTTTGAATTAAAGTTTTTAAAATTTGGGTTAGGCTTAGATTAAAAAACTATAATTTGGATTGACTTTGGTTCATATTCAAGTTCATGGGTTCAAATTGAATTACAAAAATCGAACTCAATCCGAATTCAAAATTCAGGTTCAACCAAAATTTAAAATATATATATATATATATATATATATACACGCGCACACACACATAAGTTTTAAATATATTTTAATTTTTTATTAATTTATTTTAAACTTCAGTTAATTAAGCTATTGTGTTACGATCAAAATTGAGCCCAAATACGAACATACTTAAACTTAACAAACCCGGCCCAACTAAGACGTCTAGTCATCATATCAAATGCTGGGTTAGGATTATGGACCTAAAACTCATCCAAAATACTGGAGAATTGGACAGGGCCTACTGGGCCTAAGTACCTCAACACAGTTTCGGCTTGTTTAATATTACTTGCTGTAACTGGGGATTGATGAGAGAATATATACACACATTCGATTGTTAAATATACTCTAGACTTTTTCAGCCCATTCAGAATTGGGACTTGCACTGGTTCCTTCCACACTCCATAGTTCAGCTGCAAAGAGATATGCTAACCTCCCCCTCCCCTCCCCTCTCTGTTTTTTGTTTTTTTTTTTAGTTTAAGGGTCGGGATATCCGATTTAACTATCTTGACTAATTTCCTTCCCATTCCAATTAAAGGCATGTTATTCACGTCGAAACTAGAGTATTCGCGAGAGATAAATCTCTTATGACCTGACCATAAAAAATTATCAAAATTCGAATTCAAAACATTTCTCCCTCCTCTCTCTCTTGCTTGTCTTATTTGTTGAAAAATAGTCCTGATGGTGAAGAGAATAAAGAATCAAAGACAAGAAAACTAGTGTGGACCACTCACATGTGAAATATAAAAATGTGATTCCATGTAGTGAGCAGTGGTGATGGGTATGATATAATCATTACTTGTTCAGGGAATTTCTGGAAAGAAAGCAACAGGTCATTCATTAAGAGTCAACCCCCCCAAGGATATATCATTTTCAGAATTTACTCTTAGCACCATATTGTTCTGGATGAACCCTTCCCTCTAGTGTACCTCCATTCAATAAAATTAGACTGTCCATGTGAACTACCTAACCTTTTGAGCTGCAGGGTAAGTTAAAGTCCATCGCTACTATTCACTATACCCTACATGAAAAGGGCATGGGAGCATTGGATTATTTAGGTAGCAAAATGGACTCGGCCCTTGATAAAATGACCAGTCATGGTCATTGTGTGGTGTCTGTCGCAGAATCAGAAATCTGGTGATTGTTCATTTATTCCCCTTGTTATGAAGTCCCGTGAATGGTTAAAAAAAAAAGGAACTACATTTCAAGAATTTGAGTGTGAGAGGCGCTCAAATCTCTTGAGATATTTGTGTTGGAAATGATACATTCGCTTCAATCATCCAAGTCTTTTAGGATGTTTTGCATACTTTCACAATTTTAAAATACTACGTTTTATCTCGTTCCATTGACATGGTGTTATTATATAAAAAATTGACACGGGTTTTCCATAACACAATAACCTTCTATAGAACATTACAACTTATGTATTTATGTTGTTTGTTGGGGGGAGGGGGGAGGAGTAGTAGGGAGATTTGGTATGTGATACAAGTTTCAAGTCTCTTGTAATGAATGTCGTAAGTGTTTTACATAGAGAACTAATGGGTACCATAAACAGACACCCATAATGGGATGTACATGTTAATGTTTACTAAACATATCCTTTAAATGGTAATAGTCATATCCTAAGAGAATTATTCTTTTTAGGCATTTGTCAATTGGGTCTATCCATCGAGGACATAGTGATTCCTGTCCATGACCTAATCGATACCAAATAATTTGCAACCAAATTAATAATATTTGGACAGTTTGTCAGGTTTATTTTTTTTATATACTACGAGGAATGAAAAACAATTCAAACCCAAGTTATTAAAGTCATTAGGAGTGACACTTCGTCGTAGTTATAGAACCATTGTTACAAAGTAGTGATTATAATTATCAGATCTCTTTGTTTATGACTATAGAATTATAAATATTTGTGAGAGGTTCTGTTAAAATTGAAAATGTAGGACATAGGGTTCCTCACATTTGCAAGTGAAGTGTCCAGTGGGCAAACTTAGGATATGATGTTAGTGGTCTGAAAGTTTGTAAATAAAAGGGTTAAACAAGAGTAGGTGTCCCATTTTACTAGGGAGTTGTAGGTGGACCAAGGAACCAATTTTAAACCAATGGCTTTTTCTCTGCAAGAATCTTAGCAGGTTCTGTTTCTTTCCTCCCTCAAACGTGCACTTGAAAGCACCCATATGGCTCAATTAGGAACTAATACAAGGCAATTGTTTTTCGTAACTAAGAACTCTTCCAATCATATATCTTTTAAACTTATA